GTTCCCACGCAAACTCTCTCCGACACGCATCGAAACTTCTCGGTGGCAATAAATATCATTTCCCCGCTGGTCTTGAATTCTATGGCAGGTGTGCACATTTACATTCACACTGCGACAAGTTCGTTGGTTTTTTTGCGTCGACAGGGAAGAATTGGTCTATGTGCTGCCACCAAGCGTCTATAACCAATTAACATCTAGTTGAGTCCGTTCAAGACTAGTTCTCAGACGAGTTAATTCATGTATGAGCAGTTGACTGATCGATTCTGCATCATTCTCGAACTAAAATGAACAGCAAGATTAAGAGTCAGCGGTATCTAGAAATGGAGTTTTTTGCTTGATTGGACATTGAAATTTCAGGGTTTTGTTTTTCAGTTTGCGTTCTCGTTGACGAATTTTTCTTCATGGGCTGATTTTGACACAGGCTTGTTGCAATACACTCATTACGTTGCTGTTGCATCCTCAGCGTATACTCGCTTCGAAGTAAATAATAAATGACTCCTGTGCCTTCCGTCGTGTCAATCTGAATTCGAGGCGTCTCGGTAGTGACTAAGACGCATCGTGTGTGAAAATCGTCCCATGGGTGGGAGGAGCCTGTTATGATCGTCCTGCTCCCAGCCAGGAGGCTAAATGATTGTGGGCGGATGGAGCGAGGTGTACGGTTCCGTAGCCGAGTGGAATTTGTTGAAGTTACCGTGTGAAATGCAAGTATCATGCATTGTAAACTTCGGTGACATTTTCTCCCCCATAAGATTCCGTTACCCTCACGGCCATAGTGTTACACACTCAAACTAGAGTCCTATTCTACGGTATTGTAGAGTGTATCCTCGAGTAGTCTGACTCTTAATCATAATAATAGAGAGTCAGGATAGAATACTTAGTATTTGTAAATATGGTCAAGCGTAGGCTGTCCTAAAACTTATCTTATTCTTGATAAGTGACCTCTCTGACTTATCTGTATTGTATTCATTGTCAAGTCGCACTAAAACTTCGATTTATGCGCACCGAACACTTGAGCTGAGATACCACACTCCTGAACAGACCTCACTTTCAATAAGTGTGGCCGGTTTGCCCACGTGTGCAATACTTAGCTCACGTAACGTAGAAAACACAGACTATAGAGTGACACTTCAAGTATAGTGCCCAACCTCCTCGTCGCACCTTGATACTTTGAATAGGCCTGTCATCTTTTCTTACCTCTGTGGTATGTCGCTTCTATCCGGGTGAGCGATACCAAAATAGCGCCACTTGAATAGCATTGGCCCCGGATGTCATTAGGGGCTATTTGGAGCAATGACTGCACCATTGGTAGACCAAGTGGATAATGTTCCGCCACCCCCCCCACATGTCCCTTTTAGTCTCCCAGTTATCCCAAAAGCAGCGGCACCGGGGACCATTTTCTGGCCAAATGAAGGTGCGCTTGTTGGTTTTCACACTTAATTGAATTGCAATCAATACCTTTGCCGTAGAAGAAGATACGGCGCGCGTGCGTGTATGGGATCCGCCGACTGTGCCGCCCTATCCCTTATATGTAGCTATCGTCGGGCGATAAAAATTGAAAACCGTCATCATGTGAGTGGTATTTTCTTTCCTTCTTGGCGGGAGCCTTGGACCGCGAAATGGTAACAAGACGCCCGGCCATGGTTTAATCGCGTTCTCCCGCCTGGCTGGTCATATCATTTTCACCTCAGATTACTTGATTAGTTTTGCACCACCAGAGTTCGGTCCTTCAGAAAGACGGGACGAGTGAGGATCACCAATGATGATACCATTGTGCCTCTTCGAGCTTTCTCTTTCCCAACACACTAGAACTCGCGCTGCGGTTCATTTAAAGGGGAGTTGTGACATCCTTTCATAACTTGCTGGCAATACGAATTAAAAGTACCCCCCTTCGTGACTAAGTTGATTCCAAATCAGCTTCTGTCAGTCCCAGGGTCAGACAAACCTCAAATATAACGGCGGTGCTTTGTTCTCCTTTCTGGAAGTTAAAGAGCCGTGGTCAAATTGAAAACTGGACTTTCTTCACGGTAGGTATGATGTGCGCAAATGAGCCGTGGACAAAATGACAAGGGCCCGCATTACAATTTGATTGTCGCTAAATTGAATGGAGGTGATTAAATTAATTCGTTTCAAGTTTGATCACGTTTGACATGGCATTTATTCGTTCGTAAGATAAAATGGCATGCACAAAAAGAGGTAAGTGCTTTCCATTCTATAGGTTTAAAAAAGATTAAATTGTGGAGCTAAAAATAGCTCCATGATTAAATAAACTGATACCTTGCTGGGTTAGGAAATTTTTGTATCAAAACTGAAATGGATATCAGAAGTTAAAGGTTTTGCGGGTCATTTTGTAAGGCAGAAAACAAATTGCGTCAGTCAAGGGCGGAAATGCTTTCTTTAACTGGTCGTAAAAGATGTCAACATGTTCTCAACAAAATGACAGTCCTACGCCTACTTGTTCTCGTGGTAGATTCTATCGCAAGGATGGCATTGAACTGGGATTCTAGCAAAGGCAGTTTCAAAAGCGAGATTATGGCTAAAAATGGATGTAAGTTTGCAGTGTCGGCATGCCACCCGGCCCGAAAAATCGCCAAAGTCCGTGAGTTGCTGGCTGGTTGATTTCAATTTCTTTTAAGAGGATTAAACGATCAAGGGACCATCTTTTGCGAGCCCCTGGTCAGAACTTCGCTATTCTGGTGAAATGAGCAAGAGAGATTCTATTGATAGGTTTCTGTGGAAAGGTATTTCAGAAATATATAAAAACCGCCTTCCTGTGCTCAAAACACAGGTACCTCTATAGGTAAAAAGAGTGTGCCGTATAACAACTCTTCACTTTCAACGCAAGAAGCTTGATTGGGTTAGAAGAGAATGTCAAAGAAATGCAGAGAGAGGTGTTCTAATCTGTAGACGAGGGACGAGTGCTAAGAAACACAGATGTTGGCACAAATTACTTAATTAAAGCTCTCAATTTTCTGAGAAATCCCCCAAATCTCTCATCATCTATATCAAAGCGAGGATTCGAGAGTCACAAGGTTGTTGATCTATACTGACCTCAAGAATTTGGAGAAAAGTTGGTAGCCTCTTTTCGTTGTACCTGTGCGTTTTTGAAAGCCCCTGTTGAATTAACTGATCCAGCGAGAGCGAGATTCGGCGCTGCAAATCTTGCACTTTGCTGAAATTGAACCAATCACATCGATAGAATGATCTGATGGCCCCAAACCGAATTTTTGGAAAGTGGGAGGGATTTATTTTTGGCGAATCGAATCAGTGATTGAGAGAGCGTGCGAAGATTGCGTGAGTAGACTCATGGTTCCTTGCTCTGTGGTTGAAAACTTTCCAAGCGTGATAAGGTGAATTCTTTGAATTAAATTAAGTCGCTGTGTGGGAAGAATTTACAGGACCTTTATATGGTCGTTGAAGACAAAATCTTGCATTTTAAAATTACCTTATTTTGCCTGAAAGAGATTTTGCGGTGATGTTTTCATCGTTTCTGAACATTTAATGATATCATATTTCCGTAGTTGCTGGAAACCTCTCCCCGAAGGCTTTGATTCATCCGTGTATTTTGCAGTTAACAGCCTATAAACCAAATACTCTGAGTTTAAAGACAATATTTGACATAATAGTCTCTCCACTTAGTTTTATTTGCGGATGTTTTGTGAGCGTAGCAGGCGATGCAGCCTGCCACTCTCGTTGCATTTCAAGGGCAGTTTGCAGGTTTACAGCGACACATCGTTTTCTTCGTTATATATACACAGACCGTGACAATCATTGACTTTTTTGGTATGAGCAAATATGTTATTGGCTGGAATATTTACCCAGGAATCGGCTTGTGCGAGACATGTGATACACCCACTTTTGGAAACGTGTACCGTTCTTTGCCAAAGCAACATGTCTAGGAGCACGGCTTTGTACAGAAGAAGAGATAGATGAACTTTTTTTCCCAGAGACAGGCTAGATAGAAAGATAATTAATAGTATCTCAGTGTCTGTCCTGGAAGCTTTAGTGTTAATCTGACACCCTAGCTTCTTGTTGATGTAATACCCATATCACATTGCATATTTTATATGTTTAGTCATTTCCTTAGATATAAGCATTTTGGGCGAAAAATCTATCTCATTTCAATGGACTGAAATACTTTATAGCCTTTCGCGTACCGAGTCTATGGCGTTTAAATTCTACCTCGAATATGAAGCATGTAAAGTACGATGATACTCAGTTTTTTCATAGGGAAATCATTTGGATAGAAACCTTTTCTTCTGACATTTTGGTAAAGGAAAGTGTTACTTGTTGCATTTTTTTTGCAACAGTCATCAACATCAACTTTTTGGCAAACATTTTTCACGCATTTGCCAAATCTGTTTTTCTACAGAATCACTGACTAGTGTCCATGCAAGAAGTACACCTCGTGGTGACGGACAGCGAGTATAGTTTTACTCGTATCTAAAGAGCAATATGCGAATAATTCCCATCTTGGCATGCCTCAAGCGATATCACTAAAGATTTTGGAATATCCTCAGTATGATTCTCTGTTGCCAGACATAGCCATTAATGCAAAGGATATTTTTCCCCTCTAAGGCAATGGCTATATGAGTAGAGAAACGCCATCACAATGGGCATCTGTATCGAAAAATGAATTTTGGCATAACGTAAGAGCAAACTCACAATCAGTTCTTGGGTTTTCCACCTGTCCATACAATGGATGTCTTCATCAGTCCACAAAAAGAAGGAGCTTTTAACATCTTTAGTGAATATGCTCATTAGACAACAGATTGGTAATTGCAGCAATAACTGATTCAATCCAATGATATAAAAACGTCACACAAATTGACAATGCGAAGAATGCTTTAGATTTAGAACAAAACCATCCAGACAGAACTCATGAGGTTCTACGTGGAACGACATGGCATTCACAATCCATTTCCTTCGTTTGTAGATAATTCCCAACTCAATGTTTCTTACTCAGCACAGTTTTTCTCTTGATACTTTTGCTCTTTCCACAGTGTCTGCGGCAGACCAAAATGTTTCCAGCCTCATTCGTGACATGTTTTCCGACTACAATCGCTTGGTACGCCCCGTAAAGAACTCATCAGACCCCATCATTGTCGACTTCTATTTCTACTTTGCTCACGTCTTGGATATGGTAAGTATTAACTTTACGCCTGCTCACTGACTTAAAGGCACTGACACACATGAAGCTTAAAACGAATAATATTGTTTCAGTGTTGAATTTTTTCACGGATCATTCTGAAGTTTGGAAAAATTCTCGTCTCAACCACCCACTTTCTGTAGGCTATAGACTGACGTGTCTGTCCTCGTTTGGGGGAAAAAGAAGTTGACTTCGATTTTGTTTCGTCAATAAAGTCTTGTTTCAGTGTCCTTGAAATATATAAACAAATCCGAAAACTTTAAAAATAAAATGTGCCATCGGATTATCTTTAAAATGCAATATTGGGGATCAGTTTCAACGAATGAGAGAAACGACCTCTTGAGACTCCGTGCCGACTTATTTCAAAGGAATCTTGAATGTCAGTTTAGGGCGGGGGATAGTGAGCGTATTTGCACCGACCAAAGTGGAGATTTGTTTAAAAGCATGGTTTGTTCCACTGCATCTGCGGGATCAAGCTTTCTGTTCCGGTTCTTATATTTTTTTTCACTTACCCTCGATCGGAAGTGGCGTCGATTTACCTCGACTCTGTCAATTCCTCGCGGAACTATCGCAGAGAACTATTAGATCAATATTTCTCGGGTGAACGAAATGATAATAAATGAAAAAAAAGTAAACCTCTTCTCACATCACTTGACGGAGACCTCTTGGACACGAGACCTCTTGATAGCATTCCAGCCTAGGTGCCCTTTCAAAAGTTTATAACGTAGAACTAGAAAGAAAAGCACGCGACTGCTAAACCGGCTCTTCCGAGTCGGAGACGGGGTTTTCGAAACAATTAGCGCCCAATCGCCCGGCGCGGAATAGCAGCCAGGTTGAAGTCGCAGCTGAACGTCGTCTTCTGCGCTTCATTCTAGCCTTTGTTGTCACTGAAAATATGATGATTGCCGTCTAGAGCAAAAGATCAGCACAGACTAGAGAAAGAGAGAAAAAAAAAACAGAATCGTATATAGAAGAAACCCTTGGGCTGTTTCGGGAGTAATTTGTTTCCCACGGCCAGCTTGTGTGTGTGATATCCACCGTGGTATAATTTGGCTTAAGTCATGTGTCGATAATACGTGGCAATCAGATATAACGTCAAGTGCAATGTGTGTGTGGAATCGAATTAGGGGTCGCATGCTATCATTTTTAGCAGTCCACCTGAGTCTGCCTGCTCAAAGGTAGCAAAGCTAATGGAGTAATAATAATGGTTGGTCAGATAAACCGTACTTGCCCCTCAGCCAGTATCAAGTATAAGCATATGTTTATTCAGAGCCATTGTCATTCAGAACCATTGTCATTCAGAACCATTGTCATTCAGAGCCATTGTCATTCAGAACCATTGTCATTCAGAACCATTATCATTCAGAGCCATTGTTTTTCAGACCAATTGCCTTTCAGAACCATTGTCATTCAGAACCATTGTCATTCAGAACCATTATCATTCAGAGCCATTGTTTTTCAGACCAATTGCCTTTCAGAACCATTGTCATTCAGAACCATTGTCCTTCAGAACCATTGTCATTCAGAACCATTGTCATTCAGAGCCATTGTCTTTCAGACCAATTGCCTTTCAGAACCATTGTCATTCAGAACCATTGCCATTCAGAACCATTGTCATTCAGAGCCATTGTCTTTCAGACCAATTGTCATTCAGAACCATTGTCATTATTTTGTTCAAGCTGAAAGTTTCGTAGTATAGTGTAGGGCAAAAGATACCAATCTTGAAGCTAGAAGTGCCCATGAAATCCTTTATATGGGACTACATAACTTAGAAAGTATCATTATTTGAACTTGCCATTGAGTCACTACAAATTGGCCATGGGCCATATTTCTAATGTTAGCAATGGTTTTTAAACACAAAAAATAAGAGTGTGTTACACTGACGGCAAAGACTGTAAATTTGAGAAAATTCTAAGCATCACATCCCAAGAAAAAAGAAAGGGGCCTGGGGAATTCGTCTCCTTCCAGTGAAGTACGCTTCAAATCTGCGGCAGAAATTTCAATTTCTCCATGGAGTTGCGCTCGATTCTGAATTTGCCGCTCACCGGATAAAGAAATACCCCTCTGACCTTTCCCCCTGGCCTGGGGCGCGTGGCCTGGACAATTCAATTACAGGAGTTGTACCCCGAGGCCACCGAGGAGATGTGATCAGTAAACACTGATTCTTCGATTTTGATTCGACCCCTTTTTCCATCGCCTTCCAGAGACAAGTCCGAGGCGGTTTCCAAAAACACGGGGTGTGAAGCGGCTGGCGTGGCCCTTCCAGGGGAAATTCTGTGGCGGGATATCACATCCGTTGGCTGGTGTCGTACCAAACACTTTCAACTACCAAGAAAAAAAAAAGGAAATGACCGAGGATAATGTTGTCAGTTCTTTTCCTTCGGCAATTCGGAAAACTTGTAAGACAATCCAGCCTATCTAAACATCTCCAATCGTCTGGGTAATTGGAGCTTGGACATAATAGACTTGGGAATACAATTCCATGTTTCCTTCCTTTTTATATCTGCTGAACATTCGTGTTTCATGGCATGATGTGTGAAATCAGTTGCCATGTGAGGGTGAACAGCCTCGCGGACAGGTTGTTGCTACACCCTTCTACGGTATGGAGGATCTTTTTTTCTCTAAGTGGCGAGTAATAGGCCCTGCTCGTTTCTGTTGGTCCGTTTTCTTTTCTGTCTGAAGTGTGGCGCTGTCCTTGTAATCTCTCTGCTGTTGTGGCAATTATTAGTGGTTATTGTCTTGGGTTGGCGTTTGTTTCCAACCTGTTCCGAGTGCGTGTTTATTGTTTCTTCTTGCCAAACTTCAAGTATGTTTCAGACTGTCTGTTTGGCATGCCTGACTGGAATTCTGTGCGCTGGGTGATATTTTGTTCACACTGTCTCGCGCTGTTGTCAAGTGATTTAAGAGGCACTTTACGGGTGAAATAATGAGTCAACTATGCAAGTGGTTGTTTCGGCTGGGAAAGTAACCCCGATCTTGTTTTCCTTGCTTTTTTGTCTAACCTACACTTTGCGGTTTAGCACTTGGCGTTTAACTCTAGAACTATATAAACTCATGGTGCAATAAACCGTACAATGCTGCCCTGAACTGGATCTACATTCCTTATTTAACCAATGTCTTTCCTTTTTTTCTTTCCTTAGAATGAACGAGAGCAGACGCTGAGTAGTTCGATTTGGCTGACGTTGGTAAGCATTAAATCCAAAATTGTTTCTCCTGATTTCAACTCCCTTCCCTGTGTCCCTCTTTATCGCCAAGACGGTGTTGTTTGTCTCCCGAGAGAGCCACTCCAAAATGTTAATCTCTTGTAAAGCTAGGACGTCCACAATCGCCCTTGACTATGTTTACCGATCGGTTGGGATGGTTTTCGAATGACAGGAACGATTTTCTGCCGTGGGAGGTGACGATGCGCTCCGTCAGCGATGCTGAAGCGAAAAACCTGCGCGAGCGTGCAGTGAGAAACGGCGGGATTTTCGCCGTGCTAAAGAAAGTGCTGAAGTTTCGGCTCCGTCAGACAGACATGTAAATGTCCAAGAGTTTTCGTCTTGATCGTCCGCTTTAAATAATGATCTTCAGTGTGAACTCCATCCAAGTGGCCCATTAATGTATCAGTGTAATTCACTTTATGCTTTTGTTTATTTTTTGCATTGGCAATTAAAACACGTAGGCATAGCATATGAAGGTACTGTAAATATTCACTCATCATGACAGGTACGTTTAAATAACATAATGCTATAAAATAAAAGTTCCACTGTTCACGCCACATATAATTCAAATAAAATGAGCTTTCCAGCTATATGTAAGAATATCAAAGTTTCATTCCTTGAAAGTCTTAACCCGAAGAAATTCCACTCCTCAAGCAGTTTGGTTGAACAGGCGTATCTTTGGCAGCGCCCTCGGGGTGCTCAAAGACAGCATGCGCGATCTCATACATACAGTTGGTGAAAGTGTCACGTGAAAAGAATGTTGTACCTGTATGCTATGAGGCGGTTAACAGAGACCCAGATTTGTATAGTTAATTTTAGTAAGTAAAGCAGTGAATTTGGTAATTGCATGCCTTCTGGAGAAAAGGGTTGCATTAGTTTTACTATATAATTATTGATGTTAACAATCTGGGAAATGATTCATTCCCACAACGTAGACCTTCATGAAATTTCAATTTGCTCACGTGTTGCATTCTTAAATCTTTAAACATGTGCTCGGATGTTTCGACTCTGATGTGATGTGTAATATTTCTCAATTTGTTTTTCACCGCCAGTTCTGGCAAGATGATTATATGACGTGGGACCCTGACGATTACGGCGGAGTGTACATGTTCAAGGTCCCCTCCAAGGAAGTATGGCTCCCAGATATCTACTTCTACCAAAAGTAAGATCGATGGTAGATTGTTCCCGTCAGATCTTTTGGGAATCATTTGAAAGCCCCTCTCTCATGTGCTTAAATAACCTAACAGGTGAATTTTGTCTGATTCCGCCAAATCAGTTCCATGCTAAATGGATTAGGTCACAAATCACCCCAAAAGGTGATTTCTTTAACCACGGCCCCAACTGCTTTGCCTAGCCTTACACAACCCTATTTGGCAACTGCCATTTGACTCTTTGCGAAACTGTTGGCAGTTTCCTTCTGATTTTGGTAGATAAAATGTTGTCCAAACTAAGCGACAGTGCTGTTAGGGCGATTTGATATCAGCTTGACGGTTACGCATCGATTCATCACTTTTCACATGGTAATCACCCTTGTGAAAACACCCCGACACATTTTAAGTCAAACTAAAGTGTGTAGTAAAAATGAAGTTTACGTTTTTCTCTCCTTTTTTTTAAACTTTCATCATAATGTGATTCGTGGACCACTCAACCTGGTGTACTCCATCTAAACTGCGTAGATAAAGAGCCTTAGACACTCAGCGATAAACTGCACCGGCAATACTAAGTCCAGCTTTCATGACTTGGAATACAATCTAGATTTGCTGCGCTCTTAGAAAGACGTGCATGCCCCACAACACATCCTGTTTTCCCGTCATCGGGCGGTCTCCTCGTAATTTCGTCGGCTCCGTCCCCAAAGCTCCCCGTCAATAACTGTCAGGCTGCGTCTTCTTTGACATTCTCCCTGCCAAGAGACGGAAGAACAAGAAAAAGAAGACAAAAAAAATAGAGGGGGGGGGCTGTCTGGGGAGATTTGCTGTACGGTGCCGTCAAGCTCATCACACTGCCAATGAGCTTGATCAAGAGAAGCCTGTCAAAACAGCTTAAAAAGCCAGCACGATCGAACAACAACGATTTTTTCCCCTCTTCCTCCCAGGTAGGACAAATCATTATTTCCCCTGTCGCGGCATATATTGAGGAACTGGTCCGCTGCATTGAATAATAATTACATCTCTCTGTTACTTGAACCGTATGTGCAGAAAATTGTAATCTGGGCAGAGCTAGAGCAGATCTAGGTCAAAGAATGAATGATAATCGTATGAAATTGACTAAATCTGAAGTCTGGGTCCACAGTTACGACGATAACAACATCTCTGAGAGGATATTTGGCCTTTTTCGTTTGCCAGTTTTATTCAGTCTTCCTGAGTTTGTTCTGAGCAATCTATGGTAGAATCTAAACCTTGTACAAGGATCACTTCTCAGTCTTGATCTTGGGTGGCACTTCCCGTCTATCGGAATATGCAGGCTAGTAAATTGAACACTACCCTGAAAGAGCGCTTATAAAATTAAATTAGGCTACGAGAATGGGAATGAGCTCCGTGGAAGACCGCCTAGACACAAAATGCACGTCTTGCAATATGCTGAATGGCGTCTGCCACACAGAATTCATCTGCGAGTTTGGATAGGTCCGCCTCAAAGTATATATCCCGTTCATTTGAGCTTTATCACAGTTTGTCAGATATGTACGTCAGTGGTACCAGAATAGGTCTATACCCCGTCATCTGGTCACTACTGGCAATCATGATTTGTTGGCGGGAGACAACGTCCTTTAAGTCACATGGGCATAATTTATTTGAATAGACAACCATAATCACTGTGCGTCATGTTTACTTCCCACAAATGAATAAGCAATACGCCATGTGGAGTCATTTCTAAAAAAAAAAAAGACATTTTGGAGTAATTGAAACTACAAATTTTACCAATAATAGGCCTACAGTTTTTGAAAATTCTACCCATGGTGCAGTCGTGAGGCAAAACACGTCTACACAAAGAATGCATGCATGCACTGGTCAGACAATGGATGGAGGAACCACACATGATGTGAAATTGCTCGCCACAATGTTGACGTCTATTAATGCCCACCGAGGATTTTCCCGCCAAATTGTTATTAATGCCACACGGCGGCGTGTGGAGATGCTGGCATATTATCGCCCTCTTCCCGCAACGCTCCAGCGGGCGTGCAGAAAGCTGGAAACAGTGTCAGGTGTGAGAACTTAATTGACTTGATGTTTGGCTTGGTTCGGAAAAGTTTACCCACTGCTCCACTTGGGGAGACTCCATTTTGGCTGGAGTTGTTTACCCAATTTGCTACCGGCGCGGTCACTGTGTTAGCGAGGTGGCCAGACTGACAGCGCTGTTGGCAAGTCACTTATGTCGTCATATGGAGTTTATTACATTCACTTCACTGGACATCTAACACTAAACCTCCAAGCTTTGGTCCTGCCTATTGGTCTGCTCTGCGTAGTGTGGCGTCGGGGTACCTGGCACGGTTATGGACAGTAATAATGCAATCACATGATTTGTCATGGTTGTCCTTGATATCCACGTACCAATTTAACATTGAGGTAAAATGAACATTTTTATCAATTAAACCATTCCATTCATTAAACTACAAAATGTGTCGTGGATAATCCACATTTTTCATTCACCTGCGAGGTAAAGCAGAAACAATAAAAGTTGTTAAGCTTGTTGTTGTGCCTTGTTTTTCTGACATCAGATCCCTGCGATCGACATAGAGCGAACTTTTGTCAGCACGTTTTAAATACCGCACAGACATTACCATCGGCACCATCAATTCTTTATTTTCTGACGACATCTTTTGTTGGAAATCGTGAAAATACCAGCAAATGGCAGTTAACGCGGATGCTAAAAACAAGGACCTTTGCTTTATGGGTCACCGTTCACTGCTTCCCTTCATTCCCGAAAATCCCCAAGGCTCTAAAGTTAGCCCCAAGATTTAACCAGTTAAAATGTAATTTTCGTGATTGCAACCCAATTTATGCAGCAACCGGCGCGTGAACAGCGACAATCTTGTCCTCATAAAATGAACTCTATTAATTGAGACTCGACCATTACTTAACCCACATAAAAAGAGCGCTGAAAGGGCATTGATGATCTCCTTGTGGAAGGTGACCATTGCAAGCTGGGGGAAATGAAAACCAAAGCGCTCGGGAACGAAATCTGATTTTACTTTGTGCTTTGTATAATCAAATTCAGAACGTGTTCGAACTATCTTTTCAATCAATTAGACCATAGGCGAAGTCTACCCGCTACAGCTGCACTTATGCATACGGAATTTCTATTGTCGAATGGAATCGAAATTTGGCGGCCCGTTTTTATGACAGCACATTAACTTCTTATCACTACTGAGCAAAATGTCGAGTATTATTTAATAATCTTTCACTGAAAATGGAGTTTAAGCAACGCTTACATTCGGCCCAGACCTTGAATGCTTTTTATCGGGCAACTACAAGGCAATGTTTATTTTGTGCACGTTACTTTGAATATACTTTGCCAATATTAAAAGTGATTCACAAATAGAATGGTCTCTTTCATAACTGCCATTTAAAAGGACTCCCGTCACTACCATAAAACGCACTGTATTTGCCCACAAAGAGAAAAAGCATTCATAAACTTTTGGAGAATTATTGAGCTTTTTCCATGAACCAGAGAAAAAGGCTAGCTCGACCATGAGCATTCCACCATCTCCATGGCAGACGGCATTCATGCCTCCCTCAAATCAGATATAACCTTTAGTCTCTTTAACTTACAAAAATGTGATCTGAAACTCAGAGAGAAAAAAATAGTAATCACATTTTCTGCTTTTAGGCCCAAGTGCTGGAAAGTAGTTTACCCAGCTTGATCCTGCGTGGTGTTGTGAAAACACATCTCGAGGGAGGTTGGAATGCGACGCCATCATCCGTGACGTCACCCCCTGACGAGTTTAACTGCACTTTGCGAATGAAAAAAAAAAGAAGAAAAAGAGGCGGGGGAAAATGGAGCATCAACGGGCGTCATGTGATGATTAGGGGAAGTTAATTGTGGAGGCAACATAGCGTTGCTGCTCCGACCACCCCATCCTGTGATGAGCAGCCTGCTAAAAATAGACATGCACTCTCAAGTGCAGTGATCTCGGGCGCCTGCAACCTTGTTACACGGTTTGGCACGCCGCACAGCACCAGAGCTTGTACACATTCAGACGCTGGAGGGGGTCCTCGGGCCAAATTCTTAATCTCCCATTTGATATCATGACCGGGTCCCCATGTCTTTGTTTTTTTTATAGAAACAAAGTGGCTTCAATTATGTGACAGCGCTCGTATGCTTCCATAACTTAACCTATACACATATGAAGCCGGTATGTCAGCGCACTTGTGAACTTTTCATATTAAAACTTGAAGTCGGTACATTGTTGATGCACGTTTGTGTTTTGCTCTGCCAAGTGCAATTTTACATTAGTCAAACGCTGCACAGATCCCAGAACTCCCCCACCACCCATAAGATCCTTCACTTTCAGTGACAATTCTAGCTTTTGTAAAAGTTCACTTGTATAAAAGTTGAGACACAACTACTGCGAACATCTTGGTTGTGCTCGCTAACGATGCGACCTCTCTGTTCAACTCCAGTTACTGCAACTTTTATCATTGTAATCCTCATCACGACTTTGCTTCACCCCTTAAGATGGATCTCGGCGCCAGGCCGATTCACCCGACTGATTTACGTTCAGTCAAGAGGGCCTTCATACATATGGGTCGTCAAGGGTATCCACCCTGTGGACACGGCGACAGATGGACAGTGCATTGGATACCTGTCCCTCACGAAGTTGTCCCTTGCTTTCTAAGCGTGTAGTTGAGCATCTATCATTTTCAAGATTTCCGACAACATGCAGCCATTACAGTGCGATCACATCTCTGACATTAGTATACTGTTGTAATAAATAGAAGGTCCCTACGTTTTATAGTTGTTCGTTAGGATAATGTGTTATTATTTTATAAAATGCAAAATGTAATAGAAAGCCAGATGAATTCCTGAAGAAAACACCTTAAAGATTCAAGAATAGATATGAACGCTGTCGGTGCGAGCTTGGAAAGTCTGGATGTATGCATCTGTTGATAATATCTTTCTTGTTCGCTCCATTTTTAAATGAAAACTTATGTCTTTGGGCTCTAAAGTGACACAAGTCCCCCATATTTATGAAAGAGTTGGAAAACGCTGGAGATTCCTTTCTCGGACGGACTATTCTTACCTAAGTGCAAGCCAACATGCAACCACAATGCGCTCAGGAGCAAATTGTGTGCAAGGACGATGCCCCATGATATTCTTCCTTTGACATGATGACATTGTAGTCGAAATCCACTCCATCATTCGACGCTGCCCATGCACTCGTTTATGGAGACACTGAGTGACTGAACAGAGAGCCTGCCGTAGGGTGTCAACGTTTGGAAAAAAAGTCGGGCGAGGGAAACGATTACAGGTCGTTGCCATCACGGTCTCTACTCTTGGTACCGCATGCTCGATTTGCCATCCTGCCGAGCTTCAGTTTTGAAACAAATGCGCATGCGCGTACAAAAATGTTGGTATCGACGTAGACATCCGATATACTGTCCGCATTTAGGACGCAAGATTCAGAGGATCATGTGACAAAGATACACGAAGTAAACCATTAAAGATATGATGCAGTTGATTTGTGATGCTAAGGTTAAAATTTTGTAGTATATATATAAACGCACATTGAAAGGGCGCGAACCATTCATAGCTGCACTGCATACCAGGATGTAGTTGTGAGATCGCTTAACGACGGCATTTCCTCTAAAAAAAAAACCCGGAGTGGACAGACTGGCAGCCGACGTGGCCCCTCTGTGCCCCCAGGGCCTAATGTGGACTGACTTACGGCTCCTCGTGAACCCTTCGCATACGAGGGGAGCATTTTCGGGCAAACCGTCTCTTTTTGTCGGCGAGTGCCGGCGGCCGTTGACGCTGATGAAACGAGCGAGTCGATGGAGGGGACAGGCGGAATCGATAGGGCTGGAGATGTGAAGCGATTTGCACGGTTCGCTTCGGGAGCCATTGAACCTCAGCCGATTATGAAACGCGGCAATTGAAGGCCTCTCTAATGGCAACCTGAAAAGAGCCCGGTTGATAACTTGTATCAATATTTAATCCCTCGTGCATTTGCCAAGCTGTTAGTGCAGTGGTCTCTATGAGTTCAGCATCTCAGATTTGACCTAACCTGACCAAAGATTGCTATAAGTGGCTCAGTGGAGCATGCCAAGGCTCTTAGAAACCCACAGTGAAACCCTAGAGGATTAATAACGGGGAGACAATAATTGCGTCTCATATTTTAATTGCAAAGTAATGAATTCCTCGGTCAGTCTAAGACTCTGGTAGTCTCCACATGTTAAAAACTACAATGGTTCGAAAGCAAACTCAAAGACTGCAATTTTGATTAGCACATATTAAGTCAATTTCAGCTTATGTAACGAATTCTTGTATCTCTTCAGTTTGGGCAAGTCAATTTATTGGTTGGCATGCCTCAAAACATAAAACCAGTGCCCTACTCCCCTTTTTATTGTCCTTGGTTTACACGAATTCTGTTTGATGAAAAATCATCGCGATCTTTATTCCAGCGCGGAGCTACAAACTAAAAACTTCCTCCAGGGGTCGATGGTGAAGGTCTTCAGCGAAGGGAAGATCATGTGGGGTGCCCCGGTCAACTTCAAGGGGTACTGCCTGCTGGATGTCCGGTACTTCCCCTTCGACCACCAGGTCTGCGAGATGAAGTTCGGTCCCTGGCAGCATAACGGCAAGGAAATCATCATGATGGGCAAAGGTAGGCCAGAATCCCCGCTTACATGTGTGTGCAGACACTGAGGACATAAGTGTATTTAAAAACATGCTTTTGAAACCGAGGATATTAATCCAATTGAGGACGTCCTCGATCGGTAATTTTCTCCAAAATAATAGAAGCCATTGCAAGGAAGTTTAAGTATGATCAAAGGAGGACCAATGACAAGTCCTCGATTTGCACCTTATGTGAGTCTGTATATCAACATTCAATCATGGGCGTTGAATATTAGCGACAGCATGGTCCACGGTTGAGTGAGTTCCGCGCTTCTAAAACTGGGAGCCTATAGCACTCCTTTAAAAAGTTGAAGAATGAATCCAAAAACAAAAGGAGGTCCCCGATTGAACGTATTTACAGATGTGTGGAAAGATACGTATTACGTGAGGTTAGATGTGGCGAAACACGGAAAGAAGAAACTACTCTGCACTATAGGCTTGACTATAGGCCTGACTATAAGCATGACTATAAGCATGATTATAAGCATAACTATAAGCATGCACGGTGTACTTTAACAAGGAGACAAGTACTGCTTGTCTGTCGTGAATGCGTACGTAAGTGCAAGCGCCTCTGTGAGTTTCACTGCCAATTTCACACGATGTTCATTCACGCGCTCGAATTGAGAGACATCCTCGACATTACCTAAAGCAACAGGGCAGATGTACTTACACTCAAAACCAATGCAGAAGGAGAAGGGTTTAAAATTTACTATTCCCGTCTGTGATTTCGCTTGCACAACTCGAAGCGGTGTCCAAAACATAAGCACCTGCTGTCGGATGGGAATGTCTGACTTATCCAGTGTTTATTTGCCGGTGCTCTACCGAAGAGGCACCACCATATGGTATTCCTGGTATTGCTCTATTCCTGGATGCCAACCAGAGACCTTATCACCTCCCCTGTCATCCTTTCTTGAGAGTTCCCCTGGAGTCCAATTGGTACTTGGCTGCATCACCATCCCCTGTATTGACAGTTAGGAGTACCGGACACTGTTTAGAGACGGCACTATTTGCCGAGCACTCGCAAAGCATGATCCCCAATAACACAGTAATCGCTCCAGGGTACTTGTTTTCACTTGGTTGACATAGGAAATCCAACAGAGCTGGTCTTTCCCATTCCATTTTTAAAGACACAAGCTTAGGAAGGCATCTGAGTTAAACGGGGAACTTGGGGCGGGGTATCCTAGACAACATTGTCGGAGTTGACAAATGAATGTCAACGAGTTTTTCATAACTGTGTGCAATAAATCGTTGGAAAATTGCCAATGCATATTTTTATGTCATGATCTCATCAGTCCCCCCCAAATACCAGCAAGCCAGTTGATTCAAGAAATACCAAAGTGACGCAAATATCTGCTCCGTCCTATTAAATAGCAACAAAATTTAACAAAATCTCCTTGTTAAACCAAATATGAAAGAGGTATGTTGTTTGAAATAATTTATAGTTTAATTCCGTATCCTTTTTTCGTCGCCGTAATCATGCATTTTTAATCATGTTCTTCGTTTTGCAACAGGCGATAAGTCCGTCTTCAACAGCAACGGTGAATGGGACATGACGGGCATCAATACATCTAACAATGTCGAGTACTACCCGGACGACCCGGGCATCCCCTTCACCGACTGTAAGTTCACGATCATGTTCACTCGCCGCTCCGAGTTCTACGTCTTTAACCTGATGATGCCCTCCTGTCTGATCTGCCTCATGGCGGCGCTGGCCTTCCTTCTCCCGCCCACCTCCCAGGGCAAGGTCAACCTAGGCGTCACCTTCCTGCTCTCCATGACCGTGTTCCTCATGATTGTGGCGGAGTCCATCCCACCCACCAACCAGGTCCCCGTCATCGGTGAGTCGGCCGTTTATTCACGTTGAATCCTTACTTTTTTCCGGTCAGAAAACTGAAGGTTCGTTAAGAGTCCACCAACCAGGAGAGAGAAAACGTCGTCGTCCCCCCCCACTTGTATTTGGGAAACGGTACACATGCATATCCTGATGTGATCACGATTATGTACATGTATATATCCAACGTCAGTCAGCCCCCCCCCCCCACTTTAGCGTGAAGCCCCCGCTCGCCCCCCGTGCTCAGAATCCTTGCTACGCCGTTGGGACCCAGACCAGTGAGTAGTATTAAGGATGTCAGAAAATGCAATTTTACTTCTACTCCATCTTAACTCCCCCAACAATATAACTTGGTTTGATCGCTACATCAAGATCATGGAACTTCTCAGATTGATTCTGGAAAATCAAACTGTCATCAACTGTCCTGTAAGCATCATGCCCGGGCAATAGATGGATAGAGTAGCATGTTGTCTCATAGCACGGCTTTATTTCCGCTTGGTACACTCAACAGTAACAGAGCATGTGGATAAAGCAGGAAAACTGTTTTTAAAAAAGGAGTATTTTTCGGTGGAATGGTTTCATGAATGTTTCTGATGCTTGGTGTCTGTAGACCTACTTTCTGAAATGACTCTTGCCCGATGCTTCATCCCTAAAGATCTCTGGGATCTCATGGGATTCTTCTTTCTCTATCTCGAGCTGCCGCAAACAAAATCATCTGAAATTGAATAGAGATTGCAGGGGGAATACGTTATAATACGGGCGACTAGGTGGCGACAAGACTGAAGTCAGGAGCAGAGTCGTAAATCCTTTAAATTGGTATAACCCCTTACCCTGAAGGCTTTCACTGGAACAAAAAAAAAGCAGTTTACTGGTGGGCACCTTATTTTTTGCCATGGATTTGAGCACGTCGATACCCCCAAGGCGCTTGCGTGTGGCATAGAGACTCAGAAAAATAATAAAACAGAGTAGGCCTAAAACTTGGAAACTTACAGTGCCATCGTGCTTTGGGACGTGTCCATAATAACAGGTGTAGTTGAGAAGGCCTCTGGTGCATTTTGTTTGATCATACCTTCTTACACAGGTGTTAGAAATATTGGTGTCAGCACAGGCACATGTAATTGGATTGATTCGATCTTTGCCTTCAGGTCAGTATTTCGCCGCCACCATGATGCTGGTATCCCTGTCGCTTGTTCTCAACGTCTGCGTGGTAGCCATCTTCAGCCACGCCACTACCGGCGAGCCCGTCCCCGAGTGCATCCGCACCTGCGTCCTGGGCGTCTTGTCAGCCGTGGTCCGCCTGTCCTCCGAAGAGATCCGCGAGATTCGGCGGCAGAAGTTCAAGCGGAGTGGCCACAAGCACCGGGTACTGACCGGGCCGTCGTTCAGCGGCCGGACCAAGTTCACCTCGGTGCCCATGAAGGAGGAGGTGAGGAGCCACGGGGTCAACTACTACATGGACTACGTGCCCAACTCTCACATGTCCAACAACAACGACAAGTCCAAGAGGCACAGCGAGCAATTCGAGGCGCTAACGCGCGAACTCAAGCGGATGAACGAGACGCTGACTGGCATGAAGCTAGGCGACAAGAAGTTCAGCACAGACCAGAGACGTAACTACCGGGAATGGGTGCTAGTCTCCCGGGTGCTGGACAGAACCTTCCTGGTGCTGTATCTCATCGGGAATGTCATGTCTGTGTTACTGCTTGTCTTACCTGTAATGATTATTAAGCCAGATGTACCAACAGATCAAAGCGAAGATGTTTGATTCCCACGTGCTTCACGCCAATACCCTGCTGGTGTCCACTTGTTTTGCGACCACCCAAGTGATTTGTCGGTCAGCTGAAGCCACTGTTATGGGCAAATATAATTATCTTCAGTTTTCCTCAAGCTTACAGTGGGCGGACATTACTTTCGAGATGTCAGGAATCGGATCCCGTAGCCGAGCACGCAATGGCCGTTTAGGCTTATAATCAATGAATGCAGATATCTCGCCCATTTGATGTGACACTAAATCGTCAGTGCTTGGTAACGTGAGCAGTTAGCGATTGTCCAACTCGAATTTCAAGAATATCAGTGACGCAAAGATAGCCGAAGATATTTGTTCGCATTTAGCGATTTATTATTCAATAATTCAGGAACAACAGTCTGTCTACCATTATGAGTCCTTTAATATGAAAACGACTTTAAGTAAAAATGATCACGGTTCTTCCTTTAAAGGTTTGAACGCATGCAGTGGGGGTAGGTAGGATTTTATCAGGAGGGGGGTACAAAGGAACCACCAACATCTTTTTTCTTGGGGGGGGCACCAGCTTTCCGTGTTTTGGGGGGTTTATGTTAGCCTTGTTCAATATCTATTTATCTGTTTTTTCAGTGGTGGGGGGCACCTTGGGGCACCGGGACTTTGTGGGGCCCGGTGCCCCCAGCCCCCCCCCGGCTACGCCACTGAGCGCATTTGGAAAGGACGCCATAAAGTCTGATAATAAAGTAAGTCATGCCAAATATACTCGAATAAGAGAATGGTGTAAACAGTCGTCAGTGAATGACGATCGCTCCTGGATCCGACACAGCGGATGACTGTTGTGTTCCTCAGAAACACTGAGAAAAATACGTCACTTGGCTCGTCCTGTCCATACAATACTGCGGAGATACCGTTCAGTCAGGATACAACAGATAGTTTCAATCTCAATTCCAAATTTTTAGTGCAGATTTGATTAATTTGCCAGGTTAGCAAGACGAACGTTCTTGGGCATTGGCTTTCTGTTTCCAGGCCCATAAAGAAGGCATTTGTGTTAATTGTGTGAATAAGCTTGTTTAAGATTACACATCTGGGATCGATATAATTTTATTACCTTATCGGCGGCATATCCTGCTATTACACGATGGTAGGAAATATTCTCAAGGCGTATCATTCCCAGAAACGTTTACGCACAGCGTAACCAGCCAATTCATAACTGGCTTCTGCTTCATGACATTAATGAAAGCAAGTAATGCAATGCCTGTTGCTATGTGCTCACTTTCATTTCTTTTTGTGCGCAGGTACAACCCTCCTACTTGTTGATCCAAACAAGCTGATAAGGCTCTGCTATCAAATTCCTGCTCAACTTGTTTTCCCTTACTTTTAAGTGCGCTCATAAATAGGTCTGACGATCACTTCGAACAAACAAACAAACTAGGCTGGACCACAACTGATCGATCTAAGACGACCTGACTGGCGGTACGGTCGAAGTGCTTCCAGCAAACTTCACGCCAATAAATTCCCCACAATTAGGGGGGATCGAATAATCGGATTGGATTTTATAGTGGTGGCAACTTACAGCTGCGTGCAGGATACCAATGACTACTCGGCAGGGAAAGGTTCTTTCTGAGCCATCTTGTGTGCGTGAGTGCAACATTTGCGCATGCTCAACGCCAGTGTGTATGATGACAAAATATACGACGATTTCCGATCGTTCGTTCGTGCTGACGGCTGTGCCGAAGGCAGCTTAATTACTTCCGGACTTTGACTTCGGACCGTCTCAAGATTTTTTTTTAATTTACAGGTTGCAAAAATACTCTGCTGTAAAAGTTAAAGAATAGCTAAATAATAAAGACTATTGTCAAATTAGTGTAACGACAATAAGGTTTGGCAAACCGACAAGAAGCCTCTGGAGTCTACACATTTGAAAAAGTCTTTAACTAATGCCCAGTTGTTTCCACTGCTGTTGGATAAAAAAAAAATGAATGGCCACTGTCGCTGGGCATTTCAAAATTTCAAACCAATTTAAGTACATTGCGCTGTATAGAATAACCCCTTTTAAGATGTAGGCTATGTAATAGTGACTGACTCTCAGTTTAAAGAGAATTCTTTTGCATGAGTTAGTGAGAGATTTGTTGCTGTTGAGAATGAAGAAAGTGACATAAAATAAACTTCCAAAATACGTGTACTGCATGCATTTGGATAAACAGCTCTGTTTGATGTCAACATGGATTTTCTATGCATTAAAAGCTGGAGCATTTTCGTTTGCCTCTCGAGCAACCACGGACCTGAATTTCGCATTATGTATCGTTGAAAATGCAGAAGAGGAAACGTGACGAGGATGGGATTTTATCGGCGTTGCTAACAACCACGTTTTTGCGCATTTCCATAACGGGAATGACTCAATAACTTTAATATAGGAAAGGAATGTATATTATTTATAACCATCCGTTTTATTTCAAACAAATTTATCCAAAACTATAGGTTACTAGCGTTGTTAATACAGATATAATTAACATCATTTACAAACCATGGGCAGTAAGGGGAAGCGGTAATTCTTTCTATTAAATTTCTGAGTGGTTTCTCCTGGCGATCGATAATCGCTTTTCGAGGCCCTCTATTGGTGGTTAAACTAAATTGAGATTTTAGAGATTTTAGTATCCATGAGCTATAGAGGGCAGTGTATATAACCCAGAGTTTATACTCCCCTTTTTGAATTCATCACAGTTTTTGTAGCCTTTAAAACATTAAACCTTAAAAAAATGCTTGATAAAAAAAATTGTGTCATTAAATTCACATATTAAATCAATTATTCAAATGCAATGCAAAAATATTGACTGGTGAATAGTAATAAGAAATAAATTTGTGATTGATAGTTCTTCATAACCACATATTTATTCAAATAAAGATAAATAGAGTAAAATAATACCGATATGACGGATGTTTACTTAAAATCGATAAGTTACACCATTGAAATAAATATTGTTAAACTTAAACAACCTCACATTATCACTTGTTAAATTATTACATTTTATCATGGTGTTAAAAAGTTTGGAGAAATCTGAGGGGTAACAAATGCTTTGTAACTAAAAACACAGCATTAAGAGTTGTCATTGATAAGCAAGGAGGGTTACGACAAGGGGGGTGCAAATCTTTGGGCACAAAATGGTGTCAGCACATGAAAGCTAGCAAACATGACTACTTCATGCACGGCTGTGCCCAGACTAGTCCATTCATTACTCATTTTCCGTCCTTGTCTTGGGGTTGGAGTTATCAACTTAGAACAGGGTATCTTCATGGGTTTCCGTGTGATATTTTTCAATCGTGGAAATGAATTTAACTAAACCAAAATTTCGTGTATTGTAAATAATATTCAATTTGTACAAAAGCGAACTCGAGTTAAGTATGTATTGTAACGTATTACATAATAAATACTATTATCAAAACAAAGCTCGTCCTCGTGTTCTATTTACTATTTGTGTAGAGTTGGATAAAATATTTGTCGCAAAGATTCTATTCCTTTGAAAAGCCCATTTGTATCAATCCCTTTGTTTCATTTTTGTTATTTCGTTAGACTAACACATAACGTTTTATTTAGTCAAGATTCCTGAACTGTGATATAGCAAGACTTACATATTAAATCTATAATCCTACATATTTTACTAGATGCAGTGGGAGAAGTAATTTTGCGTCCGTTTATGGTTGAGTGAAAGGTATTTTCAAAACTGCAATCACAATAATCATTTCCATCATGACGTCATGATCCCATCACCATGACCATTAACCTGAAACTGATTATGTCAAGACTATCATGTTATTATCTGCTGATCACTCAAACAAATCACCCAACGCAAGCTACAATGCCAGCATACAAACTTTGACAAGAGTTTTGATTCCATCAACCTTTTTTTCAAGATCACCTATCGATCACATGACTGTCATCTTCATTATCACATTCCCATCGGTACCAGTCACAGCCCTTGTCATCATTTCTTTTTTGTCACCAACATTACCACTCCTCGCAACGTTTTTCTTCATAATTCACCAAGAGCACGATAATCAACACAATCATACTCACCACAATCATTTGACAGCTAGCGTCACGGCCCTTTTGCCTTCAATAATCTCACACCACAGTCATAATCCATTAATTATCACCCACAAAACTCGTTACAGTGACAGCCATTATGTTGCCTTGGTTACCAACATCACCAAGCGTCGTCCTGTCTCTGAACCTTCATCTAACAGTTTCGACAGAAATTGCATACGTTCACTATTTCAGGCGAACACGAAGGCAAATATAATTTGACGTCACAAAACAATTGCAAGTGTAACTTCTGCGAATTCACATCGTGAAAATTGGATTTTTGACGTCACAATCTTGTGTTTGTATTCACCTTCGTGGCAAGTACCGAACCGCCCTTTACCCTTCTCGTGGCTCCAAATAAATCCTCACAAAATGACATCAACATTACACCGACAACCCTTAACAAACTCAAGCTCTCGTTCTTCCTCGGTGTCATAATCGAATCGACAACCAGTGGATTTATAAGTTTAACTTGTTCTCGTCGTCGTCCTACAAGTGCGCAGGCGTATTATAGGCCCTATGAAAATCTGTGCTCGTGGCTTCTAACGCAAAAACACACAGAACACCACTAAGGACGGACTGATGTATTTGAATAGAGACGACTTCTTACGAAGATGTAAGCATGTCTCCACGACGCCATGTGAGGCCTATATCAAACGTTTTAAGGTTAGGTAAAGCAGTGCGCAAATGAAAATATCACGTATTTTAACATAAAACCAACTGCATTTAAAAGTGTTGTACCACCTAACGTTAGATTGCAATTGTACTTTTTCCAGAGCCGACACCCTAAATCTCAGACCTGCTGGTAAAACACTACACTTATGATAACGTTACAACCTTCCCCTTAACCTACCAAAGAAATGGATGCGCCCTCCGGGATGTCTGTAAACTATGTACCACTGAAGGTGCGTTCCATCTCTCATAGTAGGTCAAACATAATCATGAAGGGGGAAGAACTCTTTCTCTGACACTCGTATCAGTTAATAAAAAGACCCCTCTTAAAGTAACGCAAATTTGAATTTCAAAACTTTTTATAATTCTATCACACAATCGTAAGCTGCTTAGTGAGAAGCTGTTACCACAAACTTTAATTTCGTTAATGAAACCCAAAACCACATTAGTACATGTGAACAATAAAACTAAAATGCTGAGAACAAAAATCGCAAGTCAAGCGAGTAAAAGTTTAAGTTCTGAAGAAACGTTAATACTCAATTTAAATTTCTAGTCTAATGTTAGTCGGAAATGTCTCCCTCTGATGAAGTACATTAATTTACACATTAGGCTAATTCTTCGTTTTCTTTGGTTAAAAACTTCCCCCTCAGTGAAAGCCCAATCGTACGACAGTTCCATCATTTAAAGTCCAAAACACTGGAAACAAACAAAATAACATTCGCGAAACGACTGAAAATCAGCGTCAAATGATAATTGTAACCTGTACACATAAAGAAAATTTGCAATACTAGTAAGACTTTAGAAAGCACCATAGCTCGGCCCTGTCATGCTGTAGCAGAGATCTGAAACGACAGAGGGCGCACTTAGGCAGAAGCAACCCCCCGCATGAATGCGTACGCAGGTATCAGTGGTGGCACGTTTTTATAACTGTGATAGCATAATATTGCTTGAAGACGGCATCAATTTAAGAAAAAAAATCTCCTCTGCTTCTTTTGCTTCTTAAGGTCTTAGGGGCTTGCTCTAAATCATTGATTAAATAAGTCCAGATACCTACTACTGAAAGCTAGTAAAACAGATACAATTTACGTTTCATGATTTTTACATGAAGGTATATTTATACACAACCCCGCAAGATGAAATAAAATTTGAGGAGAACTTATCAGATATCTTTCATGAAATGTTGAACTTAATTTTCGAAACACAATCCCTAACGTTACGTTAGGGATTTATTTGTTCTGTGTACATTTTATCACCTCAAAAAACTCGAAGTTATGCAGCTAGTATACTCTGGTCATGAAAGGCTTAGTTATTCAACACCAATTGATCACTTGACACCAAAATTTGAAAAAAAGGTAACAGAAATTGTTAATCTTTTCAGTAGGTAAAAGCTTACCTCCTGCCCGTTTCATACATCAAAAATCACCCAACACTTACCAACATTTTGTTAAAAATTTAAACTTCGACGCAACCCAAATAAAATTCTTTTGGACCAACGTTGAAATATATTCAAAAACATAAAATATTTAATGATTGGTTGATTTATTGTTTATTTACAAGTTCCCACGCCTGGGTGTGAAACTGTCCTTCCGCAATGGTCTTGTTTCTTCTCTGTGAAACGCATCAGGTATTCAAACCTCATACTTCTTCGATCTGGAGACGATAGACGATGAATTACGGACGCCCTCAATGTTTCATGCAATATATCTGTTAGCCCGGGCATACACAGTGGTTCCAAAATGAGTACAAGTACTGCAGTATGTGATGTCCGCACTGAGATAGTTTACCCACTTTTGTGCAGTGTAGCTCAATCAGTATCCAACTCGAACAGAAGCACCCCCTCATGAGTTCACAAGACTCATATTGGTTGGGAGTATTCACTTTGTTTGCGATGCGACCCTGACGCGCCCATTTCCTAGTCGTTCAGTTCAGACCAAATGGGCCTCAATGGCTAAGAAAAGAGCGCCCTCTCTCGGTCCAGCTCGAGGCCCATCGGTGCCATCAACTAATTCAGCTCCACATACGCAGGACTCAGTGCGCATCTCCAAACCCACTAAGCAAGCGTCACTACATTCGTTTGCGTTATGATCTCGACATTGATCAAATGACACCAACTATAAACACTCAGCTGCATCGGATTTCACCAGATTTCGTCTTGTGAATTTGAGCCTTTAGAAGTGTAAATTAAATCTTTCTCCTGAACCAATCCTTTTCTGCTTCCAAGTAGTGTAATAATTTCTTCATCATAATGTACCTATTCATTTGCCTTGATGGCGTCTGGTTCCTCCATGATTCTTTCCTACTGGCGAAATTTCATCCAACATGGCATCAAGGTGATCCTCTGTGACTTACAGATGTCATCACAAGAATATCAATAAGCACATTTAATTTTTTTTCATACCTCTCGTTTAGTAGAATTATTCAACAGGAGATCGCATCTGTGGACAGCTACCGGTCCCCTGGTTCGTCAAAATAAAAACTCCAGTCGGACCTGTCTCAATTATTTACCAACCAACAAAAGAGAACTGCGCCCTCAGTGAACGTTGAGAGCTGGATGAACTGCGCCATCAGGCGGTCCTGCAAGAAGTACCTGCTCGTTATTTGAAGTTTACTCCGGGTTATTTTTCCAGTTTTGGCGTTAAAATGGGGGTCGACATGGCAAAAAACTCCAGTGGTCCAAAGGAGACGAACCAGGAGTTATATATCGCTTGAAAGCAATGGGTTTGGCTGCATAAGAGTTTCACACAATGCCACGCTGAAGATGGTGGAGAATTTTGCAGACGATTCGTAACGATTGTGATTTTCGAAACCATTATTATGATTTCCAGCTTGGGGCTATAGATACACAATTTGGGGTAGTATTTTTAACTGGAGTTCTGGCTTCTATCTGATCAGACTTGCACAAAGAATACGATGAAGGTACCAGCTGACCCCACAAGGCATATCAAAAAGAACAACCGGTCCAGTACGATGGCCACGCGCTTCCATTCCGTCTGCACCCGCCTGGAATTCATCTCGACCTCGATACTGAAGGTGATCTTCTGCATCTCACGGAGCAGCGCCAGGTAGAGCGAGCGGTTCCGATGGAGTGAGTCCCGGACCGATCCTAGCCCTCCGTCTCCACCGCCACCTCCCCCTCCTCCGGAGGGCTTGTCCTGATCGGCGTCGTCGGACCCGTTGCTGTTGGGACCCCCGCAACCGTTGGAGATGATCCGGGACCGGGAAGAGGTGGAGTTGGACGTGACCTCTGCCACTAGGCTCTTGGTCTCCCAGGAGCGCAGCTCGTGGGCCAGCTTGTCACCGATGGTGGGTCGGCGCTTGGAGCGGCTACTCTCCGACGGCAACAGCACCTTCCCGATGCCGTTCAAGATGTAGCGCTTGATCCAGGGAGGAACGGGTTTACAGTCTGGTCCCCGATGATGCATGTTGAGGACTGTTACGGACATGCCGATGGAGATGGAGATCAAGACCATGGTACAGGCAAAGTATTGGCCTGAAATCAAATATCACATGATGATCGGATTATGAATACACTCAGTATAGCTGACGCCATTTGATCGCTTGGTGGCAGCAGTGGCGATATTAACTCAAACGTCTTTTAGGATCGGATAGGCTAAGTTCGAGAGGGGACCACACTGCTGGCCCATTTTCCCAGGTAAACTGTGCTCAGAGTATATTCTGGTTGCCAGGGAAAATCGGCCAAATTAGCCAATGTCCTTAACCTGTCCCTAATGCGACGGATTTCGGACCTCCTGCCTCCATCACACTGCTGAAATCAGACTCTTACCTATTATTGGCACTGTGCTGGTGGGTGGCATGGTCTCCGCCACCAGAAGCAAGAAGACAGTCAGTGACAGCAGCACAGTCACGCCCAGGCTAACCTTCTCGCCAGACTCCGGCGGTAGGAAAAAGGTCAACAGCGACACCAACGACAGGAACATGCAAGGGATGATTAGGTTAAAGAGGTAGTACAGTGGCCGTCGCCGAAATAAAACCTGTAAGCAAAAAAAAAAGAGAAAAAGCATCTTAATATACTGTCAACTATTGAGGAGTGTGAACAACGTCTTTAATACCGGGGGCATATTCTTGAGTACTTGATGATGATCAAACCCTGACAACCAAAACGTCTCTCTGTTTTTACCTGTGCAAATATACGCACTAAACAGAAAAGCGGTTTTACCGGTCTCTCTAAACCCTGAGAAAGGTTGAAGGTATTGCTAATATCCAAAAATTGGATAAAGCATGAACGTTCTACACTAATTCTTGACGATTGCTGTGATTTGGCCAACATTTTGTACACTTAACCTCCATCTACCGCACACAGAATGTTCAACCGTCCACGGTGCAATATCCCAAGTTGCTGCACCGTGCGCCACCACGTTCGTCACAAAAATCTCAACTGCCTTCGCTCTGAGGCAATTTTTACAATGGTGAAATTTGTTGGCTTTTAACTGGCAAAATAGAGACAACCAGACACTTGGGCATTATTGAAGAGCACGTTAGCGTCCCGTTTCCCTTTCCCTGTTCCCCTCGTCATTATCATCACTTGTTTTAATGGCACGAAAAACACAGCTCCTGGCGAAACCCCAACTCTGACTTTCGTGTCTGGATGGAATCCAACACTGCTATGACGTCCGTGAGATCAGTGCCACATTCGACTCGGCAGAGCTTTATTTATTTAGCTTTAATATCAATAAACCACTTGTTCGTTTCCTGAGGTGACTCTCCTGTCAGATCGCATTGCTTGCAAGAAAAATAATAATGTCAAAAGCCGAGAAACTGTCCCGGCATTCAAGAGCAAAGTCCCAACGGAGCGCGAACTCTCCCGAGATTTGATACGAAGCGTGATGGTCCCTCGCAAAAAAAGGGGCCTTCGGTCGAGGCGTCAATCGAGGACAAAAAAAAAATACCCGTTTGCCTGTTTTTCTCTTTCCCTCTGTCCCTTGGGCTCAGTTGTCCGTGCATATTAAAGATGATTATACTATTAAGCATGCCTTGCAGCCCTGAAAACAAACACCTTGCTCTGAAATTAATTTTCAACCCTGTGGCTAATGTGTACGGATACCTAAGTCCGCCTTTAAAAAGCCACAGGCCATCTTAGGAAAAGAAAGACTTTTGNATGGTGAGAGACGTGACGAGCGTCCGAAGACAGGTATATCGCTGGGAAACTCTGAGGGTATGCAAAGTTTGGAACCTCCATCTCGACTGCACACGTACAGCACGCATACCTTGAAAAGAACACACCATACAGCTGAGTTCATACCCAATTCTACTGATGTACCCGAAAACCCGCATAATACGAGACTCGTAACAAAATATTCAGAGGTCGGTGCGTACTTTCAAGAGTGATGGATGGGCTTCTTTAATTCATAATTTCCTGTTACGTCCAGAATCTGTTATCATGAAATTGCTACTTTTAAAAAAGGCGACAAAGCTACGGGACCACTTTCTCTGCATTTCGAGAGCCGAATAACGCAGCGCAAAGTAAACTCATCCTTAATTAAGTCCCAGCAACTCAGACACCGCCCACATTGTCGCTGCTCGTCCATTAAGAGAGCCAACCTTGGATTTCAGGTACATTCAATGGGTTGAAATTTATCGAGTAGGAGCCTTAAAGGCTAACAACCAGAGTCAGTTTCTAAACAGGAAATTTGAGAACGGTCAACTTTTCGGCGCAGTGTTAAAAACGAAACAACAAATCTTGGAAAACGTACTGCAATGATCTGCTTTTCCACATGATTGCCATCATTGCTCATTTTAATGTTTTGAATAACAGGCAGAATCACTTTGACTTGGATGAAGATACCAACCTCATATTGCACGTCTGTATAGTTTTTGCCGGGGTCGTCAGGGTACTCGACCTTATTACTGTGCACCTCCATGCTTATCATGTCCCACTGGCCGTCACTTTTGAAGACAGTCTCATCACCTCCTAGCGAAAAAAAAGAGAAAAGGGGTGGGGTTGAAAACTCGAGGTTAGTGTAATTATGAACGTCACGAATGATTTGGTAGTGTGCACATTTTAGCCACTACAAGCATTTTGCATTGCATGTGGGGTAATCATGAATGCAGAAATTTGCAGATTTGCATGAATGCTTGAACCTAAGGCCTTCCCTTGATGTCCACTTTCTGTTTCAGTAGCCATGCTTTTCACAACTTTGAAAATTCTGACTGTAAGGGTGCATGAATTTTTTCCCCAAACAAAAGCTTTCCCACGTGCAGAGACTAAGGTGCGTTTACTGTCATGCGCACTACACCTGGCAACTGTTTGCTCTACAAGCATCATTCAATGTGCCTAGCAGGGTTCCTCTTAATAATGTAAACTAGATGCCTGTACTCTTTATGTTATAATGAATAAAATTTGGCTTTTTGGAAACAAAATTGGACAAAAGTGGCATGTTTGTTGCAAAAGTGGCCTAAGGGTACAGATTATACATGCTATGACAAGGAGATGTTGCTGCAACTTAGGCAGGATTTCCGCTTAGAATCTACGAAGAAGCAAAAGGTTATATACAGGGGCAGGAAACTGTGTTAGGATCTGAGGGGAAAACCTGTATTAATGTCGAAGCCACATGCACTTGCTTTACTGTCTCACGCCAATCGGAATGATTTAGTGACCAGAACCTGATTTTACTTCCGATTCATTTCACAAATAAAGTGGTGGATTTCTGAAATCATGACCAATTCGAAATAAGCCCGCAGCTATTAAATCAGGGTGACAGCCAACTTCTTTAATTGAATTCGTACCTCATCAATCACGACTTCAGATCAACTTAATTAAAAAAAGGCCTCCAAGACACATGATCTTTCTGACCTGCATCGCAGAACAGTAGATTGAACAGCCAAACCGTGCACGGTACCCTTTTCCTCAGGAATTCTCAGTCGGTGTTAAATTCAATAATTAGAAATATCACTAGCATCCCCAGCCCCCTTAAGATTTTGTACACATCTCGCAAATATTGCGCAAAAAGAGATTAACCCTTACCCCCTAGGGTGTATTGTAAAAATCATACTGAAATCGAAGGATTTGGGACTGTTAGGGCTTTAGTTAAAAGATAAATTTGTTTATATTCATAAACTCTTTCCCAAAGTGGAATATCTATACAAACGATATAATGTCCATCCTACTGATTTCAACCTTTGAAGAAAGAGAAAAAACGAATTAAGAAACAGATGGACAAACACCCGAAAATTTCTCTGTTGACGCAAAGTACGTTTCTGCAGAAGTACGTCTCTCGTATAATTCATCATCGTTTAAGTTTAAGCATGAGGTTGCCAAATTGAATACAGTGCCATCCATGTTCAAACTCTAGTGGTGTAAGTGGTGCAGGAAGAAGTAACCATGGTAGTGCAACACATTCGCCCACAAACAGTTCCGCTGAATTTGAAAACAAAATACTGCAGTAAGGTTGAAATGCCTCAGCACTAATTCATGCTGGACGTGACGAGTTCCCGTACGCCTGTAAATTGCTCCTTCTGGCCCGGTGTTTGTATGCATGTCACACATGGGGGATTGCTAACGTGCAAATGAGACGAAGATGTGGCCAAGGCAAGATGAAATTGTTTTCGCTGCCCAGAATATTAACGCAGTAGCTTCTGGGTGTAAAACAAGATGGTGAGCATGAGATCCGTAGTGCTTCCAAAAACTAGAAACCCAAGGTCCCCTTGAGAGTTGTTCATGTTTAACTGATCATGGGGGAATCAATTAATGCAGACACAAATGTTTGTACATTCGAACTGCTCCCAAGCTTTTGTAAGCCGTTAACGTGACTGTGATGGCTGTCTTGCACTGTTTTGCAATTCAGATCGAGTCTGCAGGTTGGCAGATAGATCAAGTCAATACAGGGAACTGTCATGCGACTATCCATGAGCTCAATCATTACTGCCGATCTTACATCCAGTCGAGTTTGTAATAACAATATCTCTAGCCTCCGTGTGAGAGTTCTAAATGGCAAAAGAAGTGCGCTACAACATTAAGGAACCAAGCTGGTGCAACATTGATTTTGTTTCGAGACATGTGCACGTGAATTGACGATGACATGTTCTTAGTTGCCATAGGGCCTGCGTGATTCTCAAGACGAACGTCTTGAGAATCACGCGGGCCCAGAGTATTTCAGTGAATGTCAAAGTCGACGTCTTCACTTTGAGAAAGAATTGTTAGTGATTTACATTGGAGGATGTCTGCAGTAGTATGATTTCAATGGTAATAAACGAATGAGGACGCAAAGAATTGTGGCGTTACCCTATTTATCCAACAAAAGCAACAGCAATTTCATAGTTCCTAACCAAACACACATTCACCCAAATTTACATAGCAATACGCTGACGCATCATTTCCAACCGACTAATTCCAATAACTTCTCGTCACTGAAAAAACCTAATAATCCTGTTCAGAAACGCAACCTTCAGAATATTTCCATTTCAGGTAGGAGTGTGCTTGACAATAATGAATATTCGTTTGATTCAAATACTTGGGCTTAGAATTCATGCATACACTCTTACATTCATATCACCACCCTCATATTGCAGCATGTTTTCAAGCTCACACACGGTTGGAAAATTAACTATTAAGACCTTCCATCAAGTGACTCCGAACTACGGCTCATCAGTTTTTATTTCCTGAATTTTGCATTTAAAATTCGAGACATTATAATTAATGTTTTGAAATGGTCTATTCTACCCGCATTTTGCCATAAGCAACCACAGCCATACAAAGCAAAAGAAAAAAACACCAAAGCCCTCAAACAAATGCAAAAAGAGCAAAATGAGTTGAACTGGCGGGAGAGTCAAACATCAAAACATTTCTCAGGGAGATCTTTACAGGTGGGTACCACGTTTCTCCTTGTATGCTGGATATTGTAGATGCCGTTACAAATGTGACGGTTTGAGGTTTTTATTTCATTGGAAAAAACTCTGCGTTTAAGATTTTTGGCAAAACGTGATATGATGGAGGAATGATGAGTGCATTGCATCCAACGATTTCATTTGAAGTGTTTTGGCAAATGCATATAATATAATATGTAGAATATTCATAACATTATGTTACTATACTTGGAGAACCGCTTTTACATGATATCGAGAACATATGAAATGGAACGTTAGGGTGTAGTTCCTGAAATCTGAAAATGCTGCTGGAATGTTCTTCCACAGCTTAAACAACATTTTTATAACTGATTTCTTCCATTGCCATAAAAGCTCTAGCTCCCAATCTATATTCAAACATTAGCAGGTTGTACATGTACAGCGCATATTCATTAAACACCTGTCTTACTTTCTCTTCAAAGCTTGTCAGGTAACGACTTTTCAGATACTTGAAAGAAGAACTGTTAGGGGACTCAACATTTCAAAATTCCGGATCAATCGTTATACTTTAATTTTGTGCAAAGACTGATGAGGCCAAAACCATATATATTTTAATTTGCACGGTCAGCTTTTATGCGAACAGACCGCGACTCACGAAGCTATGAACTAAAGCGAAATGCAGAGGTGACTTAATGGAAAACCGTCCACCATTGGAGTCATTAGTGTAATTAAAAAAACAGCGATGTCAACAAGACACGCATCCCGTCCACTGCTGACTCAATTCTCACGAGAAAGCCTCCGTTGGCCCTTCTGCCATTGTCATTGTGACAGCTCCGAGCATACACAGCGGCGCACCCAGCTTGTGGTGTGTGGGGGATGCAATAGTCAGTGCAGTTTAAGGCTCATTCAACATGATGTTGGGGGAGAAAACAATATCAAAAGCCTTACTCGGGGTCCCGACATCCTTGTTTTTATTTCTTGGTGTTGTTTTCTTAGGGTTTTGTACTAATATTTGACAACATCACCGATTGCTTTCTTAACGAGGAAGTATTTTTTGGTTAAAAAAGAAAAATCCCCCGCAGCAGCTAAGGCAAACTTTGAAATACTTTTATTTGCACTACTATCGAATTAAAAGGATTCTTCGTTTTAAGATTTCTAAACGAGGTCGAGATTTCCTCTGTGTCGGTGAAATGTCAGCAAAGGTATGAAGAAATCATACATTTATCGTGAAAAGTTTTAGTTTCATGGAAATGTGCTCGTTGAGCAACTAAAAAGGTTATTTATTTTGTTCATAAAACAATACAAATACCCTCACTCATTGAATACAAACTGTGCTCTTTAAATATGTTCGTCGGCAAAAAAACGATTATCCTTTTCCTATAAGGAAGTTTGTTATAGATTCATATCTATGCTTTGAAAGTGGCTTCATCTGAAGAAGAATTAATCAAGATAATGCTTGATATAAGCCTCAAAATTCTCGCATCAATAAGTGGACACGATGGACACATCTATTAAAAACCTCCTTTGTGGTACCCATGAGCTCAGTTATGGAGCTACATCTTGACTGCGTCGATTTAATCTACGAAATCGAAATGCATTTTTGAACCTACGCTGGCCAGTATAGTAATCATTTTCATATTGCTCTGTCTTCATCCTTAATGGTCTAGCGTAGTCCGTCAGCACATGATGAGGATTCTCCACGGATAAACAGTAAGAAAATGGGAGGTCCGTGGAGAGCAGAGAAGGAAGCAGGTGATGTCCTGGGATTGTAAGTGAGATGTACATCAGTCCAGGTTCATCACCGGGCAGTGGCCGAGGGAGCCAAGAGTGCCAGTGAGGACCCAGGCAGTTACATACTTTGCAGAGTTCACTTACGCTTGAATTGACTAAAATTCTGACTCCTTGCAATTTGGGAGTCAATGCATTGGTGGCAGAACTAAACATATATCTGTTAGTAACGAACTAAAAATACAATCTTTTATTGAATTCAGATTAAATAGTGAGAAATAATATTCTGCCAAACAATATTTTAATTGTTTTCCTATGCAAGAGTTATACCCTTTTCTTGTCAACCATCAAACAGACTGCAGCAGAATATAAGTGAAATGTACTTCGTACAAAGCAAGACAAATTGTCGTTCCTTGTTCATAGTCCAACAACTTCAGATCAGAAGCCCTGTAGTTCCAAAACTCCGCCGCTGGCTTGGACTCTGATGGTCATTTTGGATGTGTGCATCCCACGTTTCAAAAGTCCCTTTTGCCATTTTCTCACTGGCTAGTTCAACTGCAGGCGCCGAAACATCAATTTTGGAAACAAGATGGCTACATGTTACAAGCCTCTGTACACTTTATATGAGTAAGGTTCTGATTAGAATCACTGCAGACTGTGTAGCCATGGTGCCTTCTCATGGCGCTGAGTTTCCGTATGATTAGACGTAAGGTTTGTAGCCCTTTCTTTCAAATTAATGACAGAGACAGTCCATGTAATTTTAGACAATCACCGCGTTTTGATGCAGCAAAACGAAAAATAGTGCACCTCTGTCTTATTTTAAGCAAAGACACAAACAAGAGCTTCACATATTGCAAGACACAGTTCGACAATGGTTAACAAAATACGCTGTTAGCGAAAAAAGGCGGGAAACTCAGAAGCTTAAGTTGCGGTCCAGAGGTGTACTTTTTGGCGAGTAGAAAAGTGGATGTTTGGTGGAACAAATAATAGCACAAAAGGTATAGGATGGTGTGAGAAGGTTAAATGCGGGTGAATGATGGGAAATGGAAGGAAGGTGAGAACCAATTGAATTAGCATGGTTAATAATTGACACTGGGTTAGGGGGCTCTTACCGCTATCTGAAGTAGACGCGTTGACTTGTTTATCTGAATGAGCGAACCGATACAATAGTACACATCACTGCTTTGTTACAAGGAAAAACATGGTTTCCCCAAAACAATATTAGTTTCGCAATGGCTGGACACTTTGTTGAGAGCTAATATGCACAGCCATGAATTTATTCCAAAGATCGAAGTCCCCTCCAAGCACAATCGTATGATTCTTAGGCCAATGCTCTCTTCGTTTGATGTACCAAAAGGGTGACTTTAATATCTGAAAGGAAATGCTGATATGTGTGTGGGCAACGAGACACGAGGGACGAGGTTGACAAAAAAGAACAGACGGAGGGCTTCCTTTATGAGAGGTTCTGGGAACGACATCGAACACTGGCTTTCGCAAGCAACAGACGAATGTCGATGACGATGTTAATGTGAACACGACGTGCAAAAGAATCCACACAACAAATGTAGACTGCTATAGGGCAGCAGTGCACTGCATCCGTCATGAACAAAAAGTAAAACTCATCGTGTGCAACATTTCACTTACGAACGTGCAGCGTGCAGACAAACACTAGTCTTGCATCAAGACGCAAGAAAGGTTTCTCAGTTTTGCTTCACAAAGAGATTTATTGGATGAAATTTCATAATGTGCCTGCGATGAACCGATTTTCGATCTCGTTCCGAAGCGGCTTCTTGGAAGAATCCCTAAACTCTTAAGACGGCTGTCAACCAGTTAAGTTTTTTGTTCGATTATACCCTTGTTACCTGTGCACAGACATATTTCTGCGCCCCAGAAAAGATCCACATGCCCAATTTAGGCAAGGCATTAATAGGGACAGACTTTGACGTTGTCACGTGATACAAACAAAGACAATGATTGGATGGACCCACTGTAATTCTTGGTTTTGTTTCACTTCGAGGAAAATCCCGTTACCAGATAAACACAAAATGAATGTTGACGGTTAACTATAAAGAAGCACAAAGGAACTGTTACCGTGAAAGACTGGGTTTGGAAAATGCGGCGACTTTGTAGAGGAGGATTTAGACAAGAGAAAGAAGTTATGACTTTCTTTACAAAGTTCAAACAAAACTGACTGTAACTACTGCTGAACCGACATGCACGCCACATTCCGTGACTTATAAGTCTGTACTATCGAATCCGTTCTCATGCAATGAAATGGCTAGTCAATAGACAGAACTCACCTCCGAGAGAATAAACTACAGAAAGTGAGAAAACCACGTGCAAAACCAACTCACCCGCCCCGACCACCACGACTTCCGAAGCGTCGTGCTGCCAGAGCCCGAACTTGAGCTTACAAATCTGCTCGTCGAACGGGAAAGTAGTGATGTCAATCTTGCAATAGGTGGTGAAGATCTGTGGACATCCCCACATTATGGAGCCGTTGTAGTCGATCACGGCTATCTGGCCTTTGAGCCAGTTGGTGTACTTGTCTGCGCTGTCGACACAAATGAAAACCGTCCATTGGTTAAACAGCGTGGGCTTTTCTTGAGGAGATCTGAAACGGTTTCGCAAAATTCCTAAAAATCAGGCTTCTTTCTTGTCTGACTACTCATAAAACAAGGCAATAATGAACTACCGTTTAATGTTTTTGAGACAGAACAACGAATTCTAGAGTCTTATTTCTTACATTACAAAGAGCTAAAGAGCGAACAATGTTTCAGCTCTTGAAACGAACGGCTACAAAGACGAGTAAAAAAGGGACAAAAACTGTGCTGACAGCAAGATTTCATTTTACGTCGATTGGGAGTTGAGTGCTGCTCTAATTTCACAAAAGGTACTCTGGGACGTCTTGCAAAATTTATCCTACTAATTTCTGTTGGATTGTTCAAGAAAATAGCTTCCAGTTCAGTGCCTCGGATTGCGGACGCTGGGTGTTTTAAATTTTAAACAAGCACCTAATCTCGTTTAGGAAAGGTAAAGAACTTCTAACGAGAAAGAAACGCACGTCACTCTAAAACGCGGTCAGCTAAGCAATTTGAAAAGGGCTCTTATTAACGCGCCGCCGGCTGTCGCGCGGCCTTCTGTCGTTTTACAGCTGTTTTTTTGAATATTTCAAGCTCGGCTCTCTGAGCAATTTTTTTCCATCGGCAAATTCCTCTTTCTTTCTTCTTTTTTTCTGCGTATCGGCTTCAATAACGTCGAGTTCTCGCCTCCCCATCCTGTCCGCTACTTGGCCACGTTTGCTGGCAATTATCATAACCAGGAGTGGCAATTTAGGCCTAGGATTTCACCTGCCGGGTTGGCAAGAAATCGCCAGTTCCAGCTGCGGCTTGGACAACTAGATCCTTTCAACAACACGCCTCTGGAACTCCCTGTGACATATTTGATTGGACGCCAGCCATTCGAAGAAAGAAATCCACAAGACTTCTCTTCATCCTGTGCGCTTTGAGGCTCTGCCATCGCAATACATGCAATCTGCGTCCGATATTCAACTTTCGGGAGTGTAGAACAGGAAATTTGTTTTAAAAAAATGGCGACTGGAATTTCTCAAACAGATCGACGACGCCTTCAATTGCTGGTCATGTTCAATGACGGCATGTATCGCTACTCTGAGTTGAAGAAGCGCAAGGGTCATCACACTATTTTTCATTGACATCGCATGTATATATATATATATGCGTGTGTGTGTATATATATGTATATACAATGATTTGACCAAATTGGTCTTCGTGTCTATACGCATGATTTTGAATGTCAATGTCAAGAGAATGTCACGAGTCAATATTTCTGTTCAATAAACAGATCACTTCCTAGCGACCAGTAAAGGGTAAAATTCGCATAAAGTATGTACATATGTTATTACGTAATCATTTCTGGCTCTACAGCATAATTAGGCCAACTTCTTGATATTGATTAACACAATGACTACTTGCCTGCTCCAAACATAACAGCTCAGAATGATTGCATATCATCACATAATTCAAGCGTTACATTTAGCAAGCATTCAACGCCTGATCGCAATTTACAGAGTTCACTCACGCATGCAGGAGGAATTCTGAATGAGTCTGTTAGTCTCCACATGCTGTAATATGGCCAATTTGTCCGGCACTGACATCGTGTCAGAAAGTGCTTTCTGCCAGTCTTAATCTAAGAGAAGTTTATCCCAATTACTTGCATGGTAGGTTTCCAAGCATTGCTAATGATCCCCTGGGTAATTAGTCAAAACTCTTCATACCAAGGGACGGAAGGAGCACAACCTTGAGACCATGGACCAAATTATGGCGACGCTGCGCGACGTGATCCAAAATTCCAACCAGACATCCATTCTGCAGCAGTCGAAATGTCTCCGGCTCCCCAGTCACCATGCCCAAACAACCTTGAGCCTGGCCGCTCGGCTCCGAGACGAGCTGATTGCATGCAGCAGGCCAATGGATTGAAAAGACTGGATGGTATTCAACAGAACCATATGAGATCAAGCGATTTTCTATTCATACAACCCCATTAAACACAGAGTCATTTGGAAATTCTTGATTGGATTTCCTCTCCAGTAAACTGTTGTTTTGATATCATGCAGATCAATGACATACTATTCAGAGCCGGTGGCATTTGATTTAAACTGATTAGACCTTGATTACTCAATCGCAGGGTTAATTATAAAGGCCAATCAGCGAAACGGAAATGATTTAATTGTCAGCTGGTTATTATGAAATGGACTGATTGCACGCGCTAAGTCACTTGACCTATAGTTAAAATCAGACACCAACAAACATGGTATTCTCCCATAGTAAAATATGTTTTAAGCGTTGTTGACTAAAAGAACTGCATGGTACTTTCAGCACAGTACTCAGCACTTCAACCTTCGGCTTCATTTTTGGTATTATTTGGTAGTAATTATGACACTCTTTGCTATGGGAGGACGCCATGTTTGTTGATGTTTGATAACCACTATAGGTCACGTGACTGAGCAGATGCAATCAGTGCAATATCTAGTCTCATGATGAACCGATGCAATTTCTTTAAACGGCATAAAGCCACGCAACACAAGAACAGGCGAAGGCTATCTATAATGCAGCAGGAGTGCCCGTCGTATTATCCTAAACCACGCCAGAACTGAGTTGAGGATGTATATGCCATAGTTCCTGGGTAGACACCGGCTTGGGCGTCTATCTGTATGAATCATTTTCCCAGCTTAAACCTCGACCCTAACCCCTAAACCAAACCTTACTCACACGGACCCTACATCGTAAACCATGCTGTGTTAAAGTGGATGCTGTTGCCTGGACTCTGAACCCAAGGGCTTAGATGTTGGTTTATTGTTTAGGCCTAGCATTCGGAGAAAAGTCTTCTTTGACTTCGTCTTCGGGAATACCGCAAAGTACAGTTAGCCGCTAGGGCATTTTCTATAATTGGTATTCAATATACTGATTCTGTCTAAAAAAAGACTGTCTGTCAGGGACTGACGAAATACTTCAGCATTTGAATACCGTGCGTCTTGTTCAAGACTCCAGTCGCTGAAATCTTTCAGCTAATGTTTATAATCTCATCATTGCCACTTCGCAACTTTGTCGGATGCTGTCGGAACAGTCCGCGATGCCCGGGCCGACGATTGCGTGTAATTGCAAACTAACAACCCACCACTCCGTGTTGACATAGCATCTCTCGTGTTTTTGCTATGGTCTCGACACCTGATCTTGGGCAAATATCAAGCGGTGGGAGAGATGCTCTTCGAGTGGAGGCTACATTCTCTCAGCGCGTGTCTTGGTTCCTGCCGACAACCTACGCGAGCTTCCCCATGGGGGGGTACTTGAGAATCTATTTGATGAATAGGGCAAGCTACCATCAGCACACAGCAGTTTTGTAATTAAATAGATCTATTTAAAGCTGTAGATGTGAAACTAAATGAAAAAAAGTAATCCATGGTTTTTTTTTACTAAATAATAATCAATTTGCCAAGTAATCGGTGTGGTCTTCTTTGTATTTGTACCCTCGGCTTATCTTAGGTAATAACAATGAACGACGTACAAACGATGCACGTGCAGTGTGGGTCTCCTCCTTTGGGGTAATTTAAAAGAAATAATATGTACTTGATAACTGTCAACACTGTCATCTCAAACATCATTACGCATTGACGTCACGTTGTCGTCTCATTGTCATCATCATCATAAATGTCGTCATCACCGATTCATCATGGTCACAGTCATCACATAGGTCAATGTCATAACCTTCATCATACAACTCTCCAAGGAGTGATAGTTACTTGTTGTACAGTGTGACATCAGGCATCCAGATATTTTCCGACGGGACTTTGATGTTCTTCAGATTATTGTAATCCTCGGGGTTCCATTTTAAGTACTCGTCCTCCCACAGCTGTTGAGATAAAAACACGACAGGGGCGTGGGTTTTGAATTAGATAATTTGCACATCAAACGGGGAAAAATGCCTTGCATATTGTCACCATTAATGCATGGACTTACGGAAGGTGTTTGCATAGAATTGGAGAGAGCGGATATAATGATAAAGGGACAAAAAGGAATGACAGATGAGAGGAAATCACTCTAATGAATGGATTCCGCTGATCCGGTTACCTTGGATTTTTAAAAGCTTTCAAATTTTTAAAGAGAATTTGAAGTGAGACTGGCACCACGAATTAACAGCATGTTGACATGAAGCAGTTATGGATCATGCCGAGGATCCATAATTGATTAATGCATCTGTTTTTCTCCCTCGCAATTTTGTTTGTTTAATGGTATTTATACGTTGGGCAATTAGTGAAGAACGGTTTTGAAGTCACTCTAAATAAGATAAACAATATGCATGTTGCAGGGAGGAACCTGGCTTAAGCATTTACCTGAAGACAGAAAATACGAAGGTTCTAAGGCCAGAAAATAGACAACTTTCATCTCAAGCAACAGTCTGGGACTGTCTTTGAAAACTGAATTTTGATTTGTTTCAACAGCGGTTGTTATCTGCCACCTCTTTCCTGGCCCCTGTGATAAGATCACCGGCTATGCACTGCAAGCCGTACGTTGTTGCCACCACACGCGATTTGAGCATTGATAAATGCTGCCTTTTGATAACTGTTACAGATGTTGCCAGATTCATCGCGGCAGGAATGTTCATTATGTTTGCTGAGAAGCTAAACTGAGATCACGGCGTCCCTGATAGAATAAAAAATGCAACATGTTGACAGATCATTTTTTCAAGAAAACACATGTTGTTATGTGGTGTCAACACGAATAGTTCTATGACTAATGGCCACACTGCCTAAGATTTTGCCCCTCCAATTTGCTCTTTAAAATAACGCACGCGTAATGCACTCAGCCAATCACTTGCTTTCAGAGCCAATTACGTCATAGATTACCCATTTACGCATGCTTGTCCAATAAGAGGAGGTGGGCTTTTTTATTCAAACATAGCCTGGGGATTTTAAGAGGCATTATGCAGCGATTTGCATTCGGTCCAGTAACGGTACCCCACGCCTGGGCTAAATTTGGCTTTTGAAAAAGAGCGCCAAAGGGGCTTTTAGCTGTCCAGTCTTTTTTCTGTGCCAACGAGACTGCCAAAGGTCCGTGGACCCCGGCAGACAATGTTGAAACAGCTGCCGATTATTGGTGGCACGCAAGCGCCCGTTACATTCAACGGCTGTTTGCTGACGGATTGGAAGTGACAGGTATTATGTATTCCCTGTCTGTCACAGTCAATTTATTTTTCTGTATCTGAGCAAATGTGAAACAGACGTATTGTACCGCTGGCGATTGGGCAAAATTATCAATGCTGCTTTTAAAGGCTTGTAGGGAAAGATGCGGATAAGCTAATGCTTTTAATCTGGATAGAATAAAGTGACCTAGATGGGATAATTCACAGAACCAATTTATAAAGACCTTTTTTTATCCTACGGGTACGGCAGTCTCAAACTTCCTTCTTTGCCATGTCATTGATGTGGAAACTCAACCAGACAAGTTGGAACGACGGAAAATATTTTAAATTTAATAAATATCGAGCGATGATCTGGAGCTTATCGTCAAATGTCAACACTGCCATCCCTAGTGGTGGGTAATTTTCCACTCCACACCTTTAGATTGACGCCATCTCCGCCAACCAACTACTGCTGTTATTCAACGAGAAACTGTGCAAAACCAACCACTTGAACGTTTCCCACCACTACAGGTTTTTTTTTATCTTAAAACTGGAAACTCATTTTTGATATATTAATGCTTCCGGCTAACCATGGCTTTTGTTTCCAAAGTACCTGTTCTTACTTCAAAAATCAAAGGAGCTGAACTCAGCACAAAAATTATCATTTTGGTGAAGATTTCGAAAATAGTATGTGGGCAAAGTTTTAAAATTGCCAACTTCGCAATTATGAAAGTTGAAATTGTATGTGAGATTAAGCGTTGAGGGAAACTTACTGTATTACGGATACGATTTGTCGCCTTTTATTGTATCTTTTTTTCATTGGCATAAAATTTGTATTAAGATCTTTTCTTTACGCTGACAGAAGAGTTTGATAGCTAATTATTGAAATTTGATGGTTCCATTTCTTTAGCCTTTTTATGAAGGTTGATAATTAAGATTACAAATTAATACTTACCAGTGTCACCCAAGCATTTATCTTCAGCGTCTGTTTCCTCTCATCCTGGAAAGTAACAAGAAGTAATTACGACAAAAAATCAGTCTAGTATTGCTGAACAAAGCGTTTTTTGGGGAAAACAAGAATCAAGATGCTTCTCAAAAGGTTTTCACTTGGTGCCTGTTTCAGATATTGTGTTATCTTCGGGCGACGCCCGTAGGGACCAGTGGATTGTCTATAGAAGCAACGTGATTTCCCATAAGCAATCGCCACTACGTACGGGATCAGTGTAGTAAGCAGGACAGCTGAGACTTACATCACAAATTGGGACAAAGGGTAAGTGTCTGAAGCCGATGGTCAGACATACTGAACTGCCAAGGCTAACAGTAAATTACTATCATTACTTAACGATGGATTGGACATGCCTCTATACCCTTTACCGCTAACCTGCTTGTCAAAATAAATTGCCTTGGTTTCTGACAAATTGACCCAGCCGCTTTCGCATGTCTGCCTTGCCCGACACTTCCATTTTTTTCTGGACATGACCGAGCAATTGCCACTTCGTGGCCTCAAAATCTAGAATTCGCTCAAATAGGAAATGACATGTAGGGACGACGTTTGATGGTGATTTTTCCACTATTTAGATGCCACTATACAGATTGAACGATTACTCTATTAGTCAGGCGCTCAGACAGACGCCATCCATATCATGGCTGGTGTTATATTCATCTAAATTTCGTTTACTAGGCTGGCCTAAACTGTTTGATATTTTGTCGGCAGCAAGATGCAGCTTAAGGCACAGTACAATCATGGGACCGCTCGCTACCAGGAAGACTGCGTATTTTGAGGTTAGCACGTCTTTATTAATAATGCCAAATTTGTCGATAGTATTGTGTGCTTTACGTTGAGTTCAAAAAAACAATAACCGATTGAGCAAAGGAAAGTAGGAAGTCAAACTCAGGTCGGGTTTCAAGCACCGGTCACCTCGGAATGGCCGGCAAAGTGCCATCCTTGGCAACCAAGCTGTCGTCAGCGCCCCCTTCTGACTTGTTGGCTTGCCGTCAAGGGTGTTTTCTTCTTCGACCGACGCGAACGAAGCCGCTCGCTATCGAATTACGTCTCGAGAAAATTCAAAGATCGATAACAGACTTCACCCTGGCTCCCCATTGCCACTCTGAATTCGAAAAGTGACGTTCATTTGCTGCGTTTCAGTTGTACATTGGCTCATTGTTTTTCAACCTTTACAGGAATGAACTTCATAAATTTTGAGAAATTCCATTTCTTCGAAAGTTTAACCACAGGCGTTAGGAAACCAAAAAGTTATTTAAAATCAAGTAAATGTGGCTACAATATAGTCCAAAAATTATGTCTTCCTTTCGATCTTTCAGGTACAATGTATTTAAAATGTTTGTATTCCGGAAGATATTCTGTTTGATACTTCATTGGAAAGAGTATCTTGTCGATATGAATCATACTCACACATGCTTCATCGCTGAGTATTCAGGCACGCCAAATATTGAACATAGAGAAAATGATTTGGAAAGGAAAGACATCTTGCATTCAGCTCGATTTACTCGTCGCTACGGTGACAGATAATTCATCTATACCGCACAATACGCACACGCCAATACTGCCAAATATAAATAAATAAAACAAATCAGAACATTTCTCGGCTCAGCTGCATCAAATCAGGAAAGAACATGTGATAGTGACGCAATGACTGATCGTGATTGTCCTTCCGAGGAATAATTCAGCCAGCTAAGCTTTGCCCCAAGGCACATCAGCAGATGTTTAGATCGGCGGAAAAATTAATCTCCGGCTGGAGGGACGGAACAACTTCCGTCAGGGTATTTCATCTAGTATGTTTAGCGCCTGATGTGATAGGGGCAAGCGATGATGACACGCACCCGATTGAGCTCGGCCTGCACAAATCACCTGTTCCAAGCCAAAATCTCTGGCATATGTACGGTTAAGACAGAGTCATCAACATTCGGATAATTTTTATCATTTTAGAGATAGAGTTGTGAATACGTGTTTTGCTGAGGTAGGTTGAAAATAGGACTAATTAATAAGGTATAATTTGGTGGATGAACATCAATCTTAGAGTTTAGTTGAATTGATTTCTTCCTACAAATCTGTCATTAAAACCCACAAGATGACGTTTTAAAATTTTCTGGTAAAACTGTCTGCTGCAATTGAAAGAACAGCACATTTTTTTCTGATACTCAAATATTGACTCGAAATTAATTAAAAAACTCCCACAATTTTCTCCTTGGACGTATTCGATGTAATGTGAAATTTGCTCCCGAGACGTGAAAGCAATTTTTTCAGCAGTATTACAGAGGTGCATAAGTCCAAAATGTCATTGTCATTGTCGTGGGCTTCGTCGTAATCACCCCGAGGTGACATTGTCATTGCCTCTCTTGTCGTTCTCGTTGGAGATATTTGCGTTATATTTCTTCTGCAGGAGGTTGTGGGTTTGGGAACAATCTGCAATCGTTTGCAGGGCTCTTTCTCAACCAAAACAGTAAACTGATATCCTGTGTACGTGCACAGGATACCAAACCGTCCTTAGCGGTAACAGCCGGCCGTGTTCAGGGAGAAAATGAATAGACAGGCGGCAACCCCGAGGCCAGAGTCGCTGTCGATCAGAAGAACCTGCCTCCACTCGCTGTGGACTCCATAGGAGGTATCTGTGCAGGGGAGATTGAGCGGCGGAAATTCAACGGCAATTAAAATATGGGTTTACATTATTGGTATTTAAGAGCAATTCGCGGGAAATTGGCGTTAAACGAGGGGCTAGTGTTACGCTGTTGACCAACAGGGAGGGTAATTGGATTGCATCAGTCGATTTCCAACGGGCCTGCCTTTCTCTGCCTATCTCTTCTCCATGAAGTAGAGCTGTGGAAGGTCCACGGTTAAAGGTACACTCATCCAATTATTCGATATTTCGGCAGAGTTCCATTCGAGCTTAATAAAACTAACCGTGCTGACAATCCAACCGAAAAATACGGGTGGTTAAAGATGACGATTATGGTATCTCTTTATCGTTGCAATTTATTTTAGTTTCGATCTAAAGTAGTAAAACAGAGGATTTTTACAGGAATGTTATGCACATGGAAAATGCAGAACAGGCAAATTGATCCTTCGTCTAAATACCAAGGATTATGAGGAATAATGACAGAGCTATTTCAAATATACATGTATTATAATCATCGAGGAGGTGAATGCACTTTGACAGCGTTAGTAATAAAGATGTCGTCGATTTGGATGTTGATTTTTGTGGGATATTCTCCTAATCAGGACATGAAAACAGATAACACGATCATTAAAGATGATTTTGAAGATGACTCTAATTCAAATAACAAATGTTATTAAAATCCCGCCGTCCTTTTTCCTGATAAAATGGCGTTTCTACTCAGGGAGAAAGTGCAGTATATTGTCCATGAAAATGGGACAACTTGGGAGACACAGTTGATATAAAACGGGAAAAGGTTTAATATTTTGCCATCCACTGCTTTCATATTCATTAATTTGACATTTCTGCAGTTGGATCCACTCAGTGGAATCTAGTTTTCTCCGATCAACCTAATCATGTTAAGAATGCATGTTCTACAGCTTCTCCATGAAAGCGCTCCATAAAAGAAAACTACAGGGAAGCTGGTGCATAAAATATTTGTCTGGAGTATAAAACGGGGGTATGGTAGTTCCTCCTTTCCGAGGCCCACTTTGGATACCTTGTAAGGCATCCCCGTTAATGTACTCTGTGGGGTAGGGCAAGGGCCCCCCTCCTTCGGATACTTTTAGGCAAAACCACCGGTACCTGCTCTGGCATGTTGCATGATTCAAGGAGCAATCAACACAATCCACCCATGCCCGGTCCATGCATCTAGATCTCTGCAATTCTCATCTACGCTTTAACCACTTCGATTCTGGGGGGATGAATGAGGGATTAAGGAGATCATCCCTCAAATAAATCTCATTGGCCCAGAATCATGAGAACTCACTCCGCGCGGCCTGATTTTTGCGTCTCAGCGGAACAGATGATCAGACGTGGACGAATGACAACGATAAACCTGGATGATTATTGGAATGAAAACCATGCGCAGTTGTCAGGTAGAGTGAGCGGGAGGTTTCTTTTAACACCGAGTAGTAATATCCCTTGTAATGGGAAATGCTTACGAAATGGTTTTTTTTAAATAGATGACAGCCATAAAATCTTGTTCAAAAAGAGCAAAATTATTTCAGATCAATTCTACAGTACAGATGAACTGAAATGCATGGAGCTGTTATCGGCACGGTTATTGGCATTCTGCCAACTCTACATTGCACAACTCATCAACAGGAAGGGGTTGGTTGAAGGTATTTTGAAATGTGGCCAAGTCTCTGAGTATTTCTCGGACGTGTGAGACATCGAGCCTTTGGTGGGTCATATGATGAGAGTTTTATAGACTGAGAGTTGACGTTCCTGAGCAAGACAGCGTACTGCAAACCGTAAAAGCTCAGGAAGAACTGGGGCCTCAACAGGTTTATCAAATGCGTGCACAAAGGCAGATGGTCCAGTCTGTGCATTATAATTATTATTATTGCTGGTTTATTTTATTCACACTGCCAATAGCAGCCCAAGGGAAGAATTGCAGGGTAGTTCTACAAAAGAATTTAAAGGGGGCTACATAGATTGAAAAACAATAAACAGCATACACAGATATGCTCAAATTTCACCTTACATAAAAATATAAAAGACATTGAAAGCGGAGAAGAAAGAAAAACACAGAAAGGTGATTGTATGGTGGAATTTAACAAAAATTACACATTTGTTGAAAATAATACTAGGGTTTTGTTTACACAGGAAACAGATGATGAGAGTTAAAAGATGAATTTATAATTTTTGTGAAATAAGGGAGCGGGCTGTTGCTGAAGCATTTAGTTTTGCAGGTGAATTCTTGAAGAATTCTATTTGATCTGAGGTGCATCCTGTGATTACTTTGGGATTTATTATACCACGCATTAAATCTATCAGAATTAAAGGCATTTAGAGCAAATTTAGCACACAGATCAATTTTTGTGCTAACGAGTGTTTCAAGTCCGGGACATTTAAGACCTGGTAGTAACAAGTGTACAATCGGTCAAGTATGATGCGACACACCCTTTTCTGGATTGATTCTAGGCTACCAGACTGAGAACACGTAATCCAGAGTGCCATAAGGGAGGTGAATATTCTAAAACAGGTCTGATGTATCCTTCGTATACAATAACGGGTTCAGCACGAGCTAGGCCGCACGTTTTTAAATTTCTTAACATGAAGAGCTTTCTAATGGCTTTGCTAGCGATGCCGGTTAGGTGGCTATCCCATTTCAAGTTATGCTGCAATGTAACTAACACCTATTAGCTTCATACTCTGAACTTGATCAAGAGGAACTCCAGCTATATGAAATTGTGTGTTAGGAAGTTCCTGTCTACCGAAGTAAATCTGCATGAAGTGACATTTGGATGCATCTTGGCAATCACGGGTCCCAAGGAATCCTCTTTTCCCTCAACCTCAATTAGCTCATTCAAAAAGACCTGTAACCAAACGCGCCCTCAATCAATCACTGATTAAATATTAATTTCTAATAAATGCTTGAATGGAATGGGTCGCCTGGTAGCATGATGAGCCCCTTCTGCTCAGCCGAAACGCACTCTTGACTTTAAGACTCCGTCCGCAAAAAAAAATCAATTTATCGGTGCTTGATGGGGTATCTTGACCTTGGTTGGGATGGATTTTACAACGCTTACAGACCTAACAGGTCGAAAAAAGTCAAGTTTAGATTGCATGCACCAAAAGTCGTTAATTTCCTGTCCTCCTCTGCCACAACAGCTGTCGGAAATTTCAGCACTGCAAGCTAATCTGACAATCTATTCAAACAAAAATCAACACCGTAAATAAAATCCAAACAATCCAGAAGCGCATTAGGATGAAATCAATTTTAGCGGCCTCGAGCGCTACGTATCAGTTTCTTGTTATTGTTATAACATCTGCAGTACCAATAAACACTTACACAACCCAATTAAAAATTCCTGCCTTTTGGAATGCTCGGTATCCCACGGGTACAGGTTAAATTAACTCAGACGTGCCAGGGAGAAAGCCAAACAGCTGCGTGACACGACCACCTCGCCGAGGCCCAATTGTTTTGTATTCCCAAATAAGGAGTCTTTCAAACATGGCTCTTAATTCCCTACTTGAACGAAGCTGGAAAGTGACTCATGTCCAATCAGGAAGAACCCTGTAGTAATGATGAAAGCATTGCTGTTCCAAGTGTTTGCACAAAATGACCAGCCCTGCCTGGGCTTCATCCTGTAAAAACTATCCACATACTAAAAAGGCAATCACTAGCCAAACGCGATGAGACAGGTGTATCGAGTACAGTAATTCAAAAGAAATTTCTTCATACTCCAAAGACCAGTTACAATACTAATAGATCTCAGACTGAAAGAATAGCCTCGTTAAAGCAATTTGTGAAAGCGAGGCTGCGACAGACAAATATGACAGTTCCAAACACAGATGACGTCAAGGTTGTACCATGGTAACATTCATTGGGTGAATGATGATGATTTGTATAGTTCATTTCAACACGGTCCAAGGCAGCCATTTTACATCGACATGACTGATCAACCTCCAAAGCAAGAGAGAGAAAGAGAGCTCAAAGGAAAGTCGCCAACACATGATCAGCCCCAACCCCCGGATATATAAATGAAGAAGCACCCAGATATCCATGATGCATGTCCTACTATCAAAAGCGACGGGAATGTGTAATCCAATTGCAGAGAAAATGCAACGAAGAGAATAGACCCAGGTCAGGAAATTGCAGAGCATTTCATCGACACGAAGACAGATAATCCATACATGAAATTTGAAGCGCAGCACGATGTGCTGATATCGCCAAAGATCCGTAACAAGGTTTTGACATTCTAATTAGGGGAAGTGGAGAATCCTACAGGGGATATGTTACTTATAAACCACAAACATCTTAACTTGCATGAGATGTATCTCAGTTCCACCAGAAACTGACAATCAATGACAGTGATTCAACATTTTTCTATTAGAACAGTTGTACATGGATGATACCCGATGAAGAATTTTAAGTTGCTTCCCACTGGAAATAGGGGATGATTGCTTTCTGCCACTCGTCGTAATGCCTTCTTGATGAACAAGCGCCTTGTGGTTTATGATATCTCATAGTAGCCGCACATGATTGCTGAGAAGGCTTTTTGCGCTATGAATGAGAATTAACCCCCCCCCAAATTCTTCCCGAAAGTAGACCAGGATACTTAGCACGCGCCTCACAGAAGGTATCTCCTGCTGAACTCATGAACCAATCCCTGTTATCCGCGGTTACTGTGTTATTAGAACCTTATCGCTGGTGTCACTCTTGGGGGCGCAAACACCCCCGTGTTCTAGAAGTGGAGGGTTCTGTGCAATACTTCCTGGTTTGCTGTCAAGTGTACACGTATTTCAAACTTGGTACCACCCATTCCACGTGGTAAAAGACTCCACAGAGGCGCAGCAAACCTCCTGAGAAGTCATGGAGAAAGAGTCATTACACGACTGCAAAGCGGCGCAACGTTTGTAGCCCTGAGAAGACTTGCATGGAGGGTATTACGGGCGACGACTTGTCTCGCCCTAAAAGACTGAGGGCTAAATGCAGAAAGAAAATGAGATTTCGAAGAATTGGAATCGAATCAACTTACCAGCTGAATAACCTGGGCAAGGAAGAGTAGCATTTCCACCACAGTGACCGTGTCATGGTTCTTCACAGGCCGGATTAAATGGCTGTAGTTGGCATTAAACAGCGTCTGAAACAACCTAGTGTGCTCTTCTGTGGCGAGTAGCTGACGACCTGAAACGTATCCGAAATAATACAGGAAGTCAGTTAAGCACACCTTTTCATTACCAAAACCATTGACGGTAGGACAGCTGGAATAGACTATGCTGTCTGTTAATTCGTCACTTTGATTGATTGCAGTGTCTGTGACACCACACAACATGCACCTCAGCCAATCATAACAAGAACAGGCAAAATGATTTGTCCACTGAAAACTGATACAAAATCTTCTAAAAACGTCACGTTACGGATTTTGGCTTAGTAGGGACAACTTATCTATGCGTTTCGTTTTGAGAAAGAACCGATTTAAGATTGACATCGAAGATGGCGTCCAGTTGGGAAGGTTTGTGACTGCAACACTGCAAATATGTAGACATGTAGTATCCTGTGCGAAGCGACAAAATGAGAACTATTTATTAAACAAACCACTTTTAGACAAAACGAACTTCACTACCAAACGAACATCGCTACCATCCCACTTTCTAAAAGCAGAAAACGAAGACACGACCAATTAAGCCTTGACGGACTTCATCAGAAAGACATCTGAAGTCAGTCCAGGCTGGTGCATTCGTGGTGTTTACAACTGTGGGAACTCGCGTGGGAACGCTCTAAGCAGAGAGCTAAGTGGCGCGAAATGACGCGGATGACCTTGCGCGCGGACGGCACCGGAGTCCCCCCTTCTCTCAATGAGCACTTGGCGCTCGGCAGGGATGGGAGTTTAATGACAGGTCGGGAATGGCCTCCCCCCCTGACTTCTGGGGACGATAATGATGATGATAGCAATTAGGACGATCGATGCCCGGGATGTTCTCATCCGAGAGGTCATTGAGTGTGATTAAAATGCACGCCAAAGTTAATTTCATTGGTCCAATGCGGTGTTTAGATCGGAACACAGGCTTTTACACACTTTCATACACTTGGAAGAAATATCCAATATTCATGGATTCGAGTCGAAATGTTTAGATACAAGGGAACGCCGTACCTACCGTGTGAATGGGGACTTTGTCCCACCGATAGTCGGCATGCATTAGATTATACTGTTAACCGTTCAGTATGAATGCGTATATCATAATGCTTTCGTTAGCTTATTGAGGACAAGCTGAGCCAATCTTTGCCAAGAGTGCAAAAGGCTTAAACATGGCATTTAGACAAAGACGTTGGTCGAGCCATCAACTTGGGCAAGCAACTGCTCACTTTTAGTCAGAGTCGAGAATGTTTGCTAAAAAAACTCGTCTTGTTAAGTTGCATGGTTGTCACCATATCCTCTTAAAGAGTGAAGGAGGTATATCTTCCATACCTCTACTTGACTGGTTTCAAAATGAGCGTATAAATGAAAGAATGAAATCAGAATGAAGCCTGATTGGGATTGCTGCCCCTTATGTATTTCTCTTATCAACTACATTATGCATATTCATAACCATGTCTGTGCGTTAAACATGTCTGTGCATTAGACTGTACTTACATTGTATAAGACCTTTTCAAATTTGTTTCGAAAGGTCTCCTATAACACTCCTCCTATAGTCATTGCGATAAAAGGTTGATTTCGGATTTGGGGAGTATTTCGAGGGTTTAAGCAAACGGGTACTGGTAGTACACATAAACCAATAAGATTCATATCTGCGCTCTTAACTTATGTGTCCTTATCAAAGTCACCTTCTACACAAACACTGTGGTCATGTTCTAATATGCTCATACATGAATTCGGCTCTCGCATCGGTTTGCAGTATTCACCTCCCGTGTCCTTTCTTTTAGGTTTTTTTTCTGTAGAAATGAGGGTCAGTTTGTGGGTGAATGATACCCTTTCAGGTAGGGTATTGCTAGCCTGGTGAAGGGCCCTCGACCGACAACGGCCAGACCTCGAGCTGCCTCCTCTACGCAGAGGGTGCCAGCCTTGAAGTATGGAAGAGTGTGCGGGTTTTTTCTCCCACTCCAGCCCCGGGCAGGCGAGATCCGATGTCGGGGAGAAAAAGGTGGATCGTATCGCCCGGTAAAATTGCTCTGGCGCGAGCCTGCGGGGGTCTCCATGCATTCCTAATGGACAGAATGTTTCAAATCGGCCGTCGCTAAAAAGCTTTAAAACAAGAACGAGAAAGCTTCCCTCTCAGCGCAAACACCGATAGTCTGCTTTGCGCCTGTATTTGGCTGGTCTCAAACTTGTCAGCAATGGTTGATCTTCTGAGCATAAAGGCCGTCAGCATCGTATTCGTTTAATCTCGAACAATGCCGTGGCCTCTACTAAAATTCATATTGCGATTTAACACCACAAAAAAATGAGTAATTGTCAAATGACACGCTGTGGTGTTAAATGTTACTTTTCATTTTGGAAACAGCAGTATTAACATGAGTCAGGATGATCGTTCGCAGAATGAACATTCACAGTGATATGAATGTTCATCGTATCTAAGCAGACTTTAGTTCTCGGAAAATACACAATAAATACTAAAGATCTGCTTTGCACTATGGCACAGTCGTGTCTCTCGCGTCTGGGAAGACAGGACAGACTGCGTTCTGGGTACTGACGCTTGACTTCGCCGGAGGCAGGCGTGAGCGATGTGTCTCACCAGCCAAGTAATTAAACCAGCCCCACAATATGCTGTTGCCTGATTGCTTGAGCACAAAAAATGAAATCAGCTGACTTCTAGCTGATCAAGTCGAGATGGTAAATGTTATGGGCGTGCAGGGATTTTTGATAAATCGTGCTTGGTAATGAGCATTTGTTCCTTAAGTTGAACATTCATGATGTATGAGGATTTATCGTGCGTTGAACGCAGCACTGAGGACATTCGCTTTTCAAACTTTGGCGATTACGCTGAACTTTTTAGATTCCCAAATACCCATAAAATGATGCACTAAACAACACACCCACACGTTATTGCTGTTCTTGAGAGGTAGATTACAAGTCTAGTCGTGATACGGAAAAACACACTTCGACTGTTTTAGCTTCCGATTTTCCCAGTTGCATTGGCATTTCTGATCATCAAGCCCTACCACAGCTGAACACTAATTCAAATTGGCGAAACGTGTGGCAATGACAACGTTAATGATCCTCGTGAATTACATTCTTGTTGTAAGTATGTTAAGTGTCTTATGTCGAGAGGACAGCCTATAGGGACCTGATTAAATCTTTACTTAATTGGGAAAAGACCACGGGGGCCTAATGAGCACTTTGTAGGCCGGATAGTTAGAGATTACTTGTAACTAATTACTATCCCCCTTGGAGTATGCCCAAAGTAAGGTGAAAGTTTTTCGATTCGAACGCCAGCTGTAATATATTTCAGGAAACATTCGAACGACTGCAAACTATTAATACGATTACGTACCAGTTGTCGTTTTTAATTAGTTACCACAAGCATTGATTTTATGGCAGCAATAGGCTACACAAGCATTCAGAGTTCTTTGAAATGCATTCGCAAAAATAACATCAAACTGATGGATAAATCTAATTATGAACATGCTAATTGATTGTGACAGGGAAAAATTGCCAGAGACCGCAGGCAACGTGATTATCTTATTTGTTTCCAGCGTAGGTGTAATGTCGCCCACATGTTAATAATGTAGACGCACTTTCGTTTGGCCGGTAGCAATATCTAAAAAGATTGCAAAAAAGCCCGAATCGGATTAATGTTGTACTACGCTGTAAATTAAAAACATGAAAGCAGAGAACCACAGCCAATTGAACAACGAGCAACTCTGTCGTGTCCCGAGACCCCTGGCACGTTTCCTTGATGACACGGCAAGCGTGTAGACAAACCTTTGGTACATCCATGACGTACGTCCCCAGGCTCCGCATCTGGATATGGATTAAATGGACTCGGAAAATTAATCTTGGCAAGTCCACTCTAACGATTTGTTCCCTCGGGCACGCCATAGAGTAATGTATGGTCGACCAAAGGGGCATTCAGAGAGACTCCAACAAAGTACTGTCTCGTGTCTTGTGTTTTTCCCCCGATCGGATCAAATATTGAATGTCAGTTAATGTAATTCTGCTCTTTGTTGTCCGGCCTCGATACACGCAGCCATCTTTGGGTACGGGAACATGTGCTGTGAAAGTTAGTAGTTCAGGGGCTATAGGCCCATACGGGAAGAGCAATGATGTACAGAGAAATAAAAAGGAGAAAAGAATAAAGACTTACAGGTTTCAGGTTTATTTCCATACCAAATAAAAGTTAGTTCGCAAAACTACATTCACAATAGCATGGCCACCCCCGGGGGAGGTCACACAAATAGCCGAAGCTTTTACTGGGCCTACCCCTGAAGGAAAATACACGTAATTAACACAGATCTTATGGCAAAACATTAATTACGTAAGTGTGAAGCCAAGAATTTAAAAAATGTAAAAAAAAAATTACAACTGTTGTCTTTGGTTTGTATATTTTCACAAATAACAATACGCTTTCTTAAATAACTTAATGATAAACGTTTCATTTGTTCAGGAGTGAAAATCGCCTCTAATGTCACTTGAGCATTTCAGCTTTTCTTATCTTACATTCTTGGCTTTAAAGGCAGTTTCTGACAGAGTTCGAAAAATGTCTTTCAGTGCAGCAATAATCCAAAACGATTTTATCTGGATTTCAATAGGAAAAGGCCCCTCTTTTCAATTCGCCAAAGTACGAATGATATACGTGATGACGTTCGTGGGAACCGAACAGCACGCTTCCCGTTGTAATTCTAGCTCTCTGTTATTGAACTTTTCTGGCCGGCAAAGGGTTGCATTTGCCCATGACCGATCCAAGAAACATCATGCAAGTTGACGATGCTGAAGCGGCGCACGAACTTAGACCCCGGTACAGACTTCAGGCAAATGGGAAAGCCAAGCGAATTTGACGTCAGGAAAAATTGGCAGCGAAATTTCGCTCAAGTTGAAAGTTGCTCAACTTTTCCGAAGTCGTAAACGCGAATATTTTGACGTCACAAATTTGCGTTCGTTTTCGCTTTAGCGCAAAGTATAAACCGGCCTTAATATGACCGATTCACAAAAGTGCGCCTCCAAGAGTTTGCAACGCATTGACCAATCA